TTAACTGCCACCGTTTGGGTGTCAAGGTTGTTTGATAATAATAAATCTTCACCGTGATAATTTCTGGTGATGATCCAGATTCAATTGAAACTCATTTCAAACTTTGACGAGTGAAGGTAAACATTTCTCATCATTTCGATGAACTTTCTTTAATTAAATCAATTGGTATTCGTTTGCACTCATCATTTGCTTTCCATTATTGTTTTCTTAATCAATTCCATTCCAATCTGGTTGAATGTTATATTTATTCAGATTGTTGACAATCAGCTGATATTTTTGTTGATACTTTTCCCCCTCAGCTGAGTGTTTGGTTTAAAGTTGATTCTCTAATTAATCTTATATTCTGGTATTGAACAGTTTCATTTATATATATATACGTCTTGATGGATTATATTATCTCTGTTGATTCATTCCTATCCCATGAATATTCATTATCTCAATTACTTCCTAACTCAAGACTTGAATCCATGGGAAAAATAATCACGAGGCATGATGATTAATCTTAATTCTGGAAATTGGATGGAAAAAATAAAACAGTTACTAATGAGAAAGTTTCAAGATTGAAATTTTCTTCATTTTCTTGGAAATAATTTTGTTTCATTGACTTTTAAATTGTTTGGAACAAAATTATTCATTTCCAATTTTCAATCAAACATTCAATCTTACAATTAGCCAAACAATTAGCTTTTCAATTGAACTTTCTCAGGATTCTCATCTGATTCAGTGAATTGTAAGGTTTGATGGCAACATTGTTTGATCGTTTTGGTTAATTGTGATTGAATCTGAAAACATCATGAATATTATTCACTTGTATCATTGTGATTTTATCAAATAATGTAAATGATAAATGAATAAATCAATTCATCGCTTCGATTATCATGTTACAAGGTACATGGAAAATTATTTCAAGGCAATCAAACATTTCATCAATTTTGAAAGTAAAAGTGTAAATTTCATCTCAAGTTCTTAGTGAATATTATTCATTGTACTGATGAACATTTTCTCAAGGTAAATTGATTGATAATTTCAACAAGTTTTCTTTACAATTCAACTGAATTAACATGAGAAATTGTAAAACTAAGCGTAGATCTGATTTGAAATGAGATCAATGAAAAGTTAGAGTAAAAAGGTTAATCGACTTAGTGAAAATCCTCACAAAGGTTTAGAATCTTCAATCAATTCAATGTCCCTTCAAAACCATAACAATAATCTCTGAATATTGCGTATTAATTACTATGATTAGTTGATTGTTACATTTGAAGGAAAGAGTTGAGTGCTAATGTTTTCTTATAATCATAGAGAAAGATAAACAAACCAGAAAAAAGTAACTAATGTGATTACATATCAATGAGTATAAAGACACTTCCTTATTATTGAATTAAGATAATGGGTGATTACCCATAAGTTAATCATCATCAACAACCTTGATTGTTTCAACTGATAACTGGTGATGTTTATGTTTTAAAACAGTTCTGATGTAACATGATAGTATAACATGTAACTTCATCAATACTACGTATTAATTTTGTGGTGATATTTACAATGATCGAGAGAGAGAGAGAGAGAGAGAGAGAGATGATTCAACTCATCAGCAAACTTCAAATCTATTATTACTGCTAATAACATGTTCATCATCATGATATTGCTCAGAAAAAACTCAAGAAATGAACACATGAAAACACACATACCACGTGCTCATATAACAAGTTATTCTGCGAGTTTTCATCTCGTCGACTTAGAACTTTTTTTTTCTCTCTCAGTTTAACTTTCGACCATTCGAGTAACCGATTCTGTTGATTCTTTAATAATTGAGTTCTGCTGGATTCTTATACGATCATTTTTCTCATCTCTGTAACATGAATCGTCCTCTGGAATTACATTTGAATTGTAATCATCTTCGACTCACTCTAGTCAACAAGTGAGTGACTTGTTCTTCATCTTTATAATCATCGCACTTGGCATGATTTTAGTTCCATTTTATCATCATTAACTTTACAACGAACTTGGTGCCCTTGAAAAGAAAGATCAATAGAAAAGAGAAAAGAAAGTAAAACTTGTTCTTGATGAACATTAAAAGAAATTTACAAAAGTAATCAATGGTTGTCTCTCTCTCTCTCTCTCTCTCTCTCTCTCTCTCTTTCATCTTCTTCTAAGGTTGATGGTTTCCAGGTAATCGAAGTGATTAGAGCCGATCTTATCTCTATGCAATCAATTGATTTCCATTCAAGTTTCACTTCGAACCTAATTCTTATTGCTCATTACTATGCATGAGTAAAATAAGAACTTGATTAAAAGGAGAAGAAAAAAATTCTTTTTTTCTTCAGTCTCTGGTTGGATAAGATTCTGCACACTAATCATCATCATCATCATCATCATAAGATAATCATTGTTGCATTAAGCTAAATTGTTTCGTTGAGATTAATACGCAATTACTTACGAGTAAATCTTTCGTTGTGGTCACACAACGAAAAGTTCTGACGAACAATTAATCAGATTTTCTTTGTTCTCTCATTTTAATTGATTGATTTTCAAATGGAAACAGTCAATCAATTGATTGTGTTTTCATCTAAATTGAATGTAAAATATTTGCCAATACAATGGAAATGATGAATAACAACAGGTAATGTCAAAGAACTTTGAAAGAAAAGTAAACAAAATTCATTATTATTATTATTGTTCTAATATTAGATAATAATAATATGGATTTTAGGTCAAAAAACTTTAATTGTTGTTGATTGTATTAATTATTGTTTCTTTATATATCATGAGGATGTACATGTGCCAGTGTTTATGAGGTGGGGCAGGTTAATTGTAAGTGGAGGTGTGAGTGGAGATGAGCATTATATTATCATTGTTATCGATATGATAACTAAAAGAGGTACGTTTGAATGAGAATCCAATGATTACCAATGTTGAACAATATTGATGAAAATCGGGAGATTAACAATCAAATCAGTTTATTAATGAAACTAGGAAATTGCAACAATCAAATTTAATTGCATTGGTTGTGTTTTAAATATTACAAATCACTAATTCGTTACAAAAAGTCAACAATCAGATTATAATCTGATCGTGTAGTTAACTCTTAATGAGAGAGGTTAGTAAACTTTAATTATGGTAAATCAATATAAACCATAATGATAAATAAATGCTAACACCAAAATATATTCATAATCTGATTGGTTTTTATAATTGTTAGTTAACAGTTATCATTAAATACAATTGATAAGATGAACAGACTTTGATTAAATCTCTTCCTCATCAGTTTCATCATTTACCTGTTAGTTTAATTGTTATCTTCATACATGTGATGATAATGAAAATGTTATTGGTTTTGTAATTCATCAAACAATACAAATTGTCCCATTTATCAACAATTAACTTTTCCATCAAACTGGATTAACTTTTTTATCATTTGAATTGTAAAAATTTTCTTCTCATTCTATCATGTAATTACCATGAGCTTACATTCATCAACTCATAGATTTCATGATGAGTAGGAATATCGTCCTTTGTTTACATTTTATTTGCCTTCTTATTTTTCTGATCGTAGTAATTTCATTCATGATGAGATCACATGTTTCCAACTTACATCATGTCGGATAACCATGGTGAGAATTCATGACCGTGAAGATTATCATCCAAAATCATGATAGTTGAATAATAACACCAAGCAAGTGACAATAACAATTTGTGTCAACTGCTTATTTACGTTTACAATCAACATGTGATTTGTTTTGTTTGCATCTCAATTTATCATCATCATTATGCTATAAATTCATTTGTGCTCATGGTTTCGGATCAGAGATTAATAACTCACAGGAAACATCAAGACTAACATGATGCGCGGTGAAAAGTGTACTTGAGTTGATAGAATCCCGTTAGTGATAATTGACTAGAACTTGAGTTAAATCATTACGAGTGATTTATTCCTGAACAATAGCCGATGATTATTGAAGATTTTTCTTGAACTTTTGTCAGAATTATCAGATTACCGGATCATTTAGCATCTCATGAAATTAACATTCAAATTTAGAGTTGAAAAGTTTTACTTTAATGATAATTAGTAAAGTGAAGGATTTAACTCTAATTAGTTGTTTTTATTAAACAGTAGGAGAGATTTTGTTAAGTAATCACAATAAGTAAACAATGAACTTGAACTGAAAATTGGATAAACTGAATCTCATGATACGATTTTATCGTTGATAAAAAGAAAAAAGTTAAAATTAACTTTTACAACGTTCGAGGTTTTTTTTCACTTCCTTCCTACTCCATAGCCTTTTACTTCAACCTCGTCCTCTTCTCAGCGTCATTAACCAAAACAATTATGAGTTTTTCAGTTTATCTAAATGTTGTCGAAATGCCAATAATGTTGACACTGAGAGAGAACGAAAAATTCACATGATTTCAATTCGCTTATTGGCTAATATCAAGTTTAAGGTAATTTGAGACTTGGAGTTACTTGTATCATTAATAGATCGCCATCTATTGTAAACGAAATGTATCAAGTCTAATTGGATTAAAAGATTTAATCATCGATTAAGTCAAGATTAGATTAACTATCAACTTGCGATTATTTCGTTTGAATTGTCGATTGATCTGAATTGAATTTAAATTTTCGATTGATTAATAGACATTTAGATGGCTCGATGATGAGATTCAGTGAGTGTCGACATTTTTGTTTTACAATTAGATTAATTGATTTCGAGACGAGTGAGATATGATTCCATTGATTAAAATCAAAATTAATTGTTTTATTATCATTTACAAATTTTGGTTTAAGTTTTTGGGTTTAGGTTTAGGATTTCAATCAAATATGATTGACTTTTGTGTAAAGATATTCAATTTTAAGAAAAACTTTCAAAGTTATTAAATTTCTTATATTATTATTATTATTGGATTGTTGTTTCGATTAATATTAATGGTAATGTTTCTGGAATCAATTTTGATGATTAAGTAATCATAATTTGGAGATGATGATGATTTCAAGTCATTTTGATTCATGAGATATTGTATATTGTGTCAATGTTGGTACTTTGTTGAACAATATCTTTTAGCCATTTAGTGTATTCATCTTTACGGGTTAAAAAATCAATATAATGCTGATTGTTGTGCTCAATAAATTTACCTTGATGATTAGATAATTGATCATGAAGCTCGTTAAATGAATCGACGATTGTTTTAATAACATTCTCACCGGTCATCGATTCAATCTTATCCTTACAAGCGGCAACTCCAGCATCTTTAGCACATTCAAGAGTAATGAGCAACTGATTTGCATAAGTAGCAGAATCTTTTTCATAAAGATCACCTCTGGTCTTCAAGTTTTCCCAGCAATGTTCAAATGCTTCCTCGTACTCATCTAAAGCCCTCAAGCAAGTGACCAAATCATCTCGAACAAGAAACATGTACCAAAGATCATCGACTTCAGTAAATTGTTGCAACGATTTGTTCAAATAACGAATCGCTCTTTTATACTCCTCTTTGTGGATCAATTTCCGAGCCTTTGCATAATATTCCAAACCAAGAGTTCGAATTTTGTCCCATTGGTGTTTCTTCTTTACTAAAATTGTACAATCGGAACACTTTTGATCTTTAATCGAATCGCCATTATCATCTTCTTGATCTTTTGGGAGGATTTCACCGGTTTCGTTGACATAAACTTGACCAGAGGTGATTTTCTGGTACAGGGAATCGAAACATTGATCGCAAGTCTTTACTCGTGCCCGTTCAATAAGCTCAGTTTCACATTGTTCGCAAAGACAATTGAAATAGAAATTGTTTCGTAGTTTAACCTGACGATCTTCAAATTTCATCTCAGGATATTTCGCACCATAAGAGATGGTTATCTCTTCTTTGGCACCAATGTCTTTGGTTGTTATCACCACAATTGAAGCACCGAAAAAGACAGCGTGAGCATTTGGACTGCAAGAATGATTAAAGAGCGACGTCTTGTAAAACAGTCCATGGCCAATCTCTTTACCTGGGCCTTCAATGATCAGATCACTTGTTTCAGGTACTTTCAGCATTCGGAAAGTGTGATCATAAAGGGTGAATATATTTCGAGAGATGAGAATCATCATTGAGATGAGTGAACAGAATAACGGTTTCTCCGGAAATGCAACATCAAAGAAGGACATTTCTCGAAGTAAATGACAACAGAATAAAGCAGTACATGAGAATGTCAACATATCCGAATTCGAAACACCCTGAACACCAGATTCTAAGTTTAGAAATGAAGAAACATCATCACCTCCCTCGAATGAGGGATAGAATTCATCTTCTGGAGGATTCGCTGAGGACATAAACTTGGACACTGAAGCTGCGACAACTTTTTTCGGGCCAATTGCAAGTAACATTCGAAGGGTAAAATGGAAAATTGAAAGATGTTTCAACATGCCCATGTAATTACACTCTTTTCCATGGAAAGTATTTTTCGCCGAATCGAAACAATCAGTTGAACAAAAGTTGACCATTTTACACCCTTGACAGGTCAATCGAACCTCTGGAAGTGGACAGAGACACCGATAACAATAAGTGTCATACATAATCGGTGCCAACCAAACACAAAGAGCCTCTTCTCGAGCAATTACCGAACCCTTGGGAATATCAGCTGATGCCAACAATTGTCTTCGTTTAACTGGATGATTACCCAACTGAACGAGATTGGAAACACCTCGAAGAGAATCATTTTCAACATAATCTTCCCAAACGGGTGGACCTTTAATAAGAATCTCTTCAATTTCCTCTTCCGGATTGGCTAATTTTTCCAGTTCAGCGAAAGGATCTTCAACTTTCTCAATCAAAGTATCGAAACCGGTGCTACAATTAGTTGAACCATTGGCGAAAAAGTTATTCTTGATAAGCCATTTCTTCAATGCTTGAAGTCCTCTTTTCGATGGTAAATCCGATTGGTACCACAATTTTTTAGCAGATTTGGCAAATTTAGCCTGAATCGGTTGACAGTCCATGAAACAATTGACCCTTTCGACGTTACTTGAACATTGGATGAAATTATATTCAAACGATTTACGCTCCTCACGAGTAGCAAATGATTTACGGTAAATCACATAAATCCAATGAGAAAACGCATACCACTCAGACTGAATCTGAACATTATGAGTTGTAACTTCGCCTTGGAAATGTTTATAAAACGATTCTCGAATGGCGAAGATTTTATTCCAAACCGATTTGTTATCCTTCATAATTAACACAATTTTTCCAATTAATCACTTAACCTCAAAGAATTAAAAATTGTAAGATTAAACGAGTGAAGAAACGAACAATTTACAATTAACAATTGAATTTAATTCTTTTCGATGGTTTTGTTTGTAAGGGATAAGATAAAAAGCTTTTCACAGATATTAAAGTTAACTAATTGTAGAAAATTGATCGAAAATTGATTGCATTGATTAGGATCAAATTAGTTGGTAAATGGTTAAAGAAGACATTTAATTCAACAATGGTGGTTAATTGAATGAAGAAAGTGAAACAATTAGATTTGTAAATTGTACTTTTAGTTTGTTGTGTTTTGAGAAAAAAATGAGAATAAGATAAATCTTATTGTTTACATTCATCTTGAAGATAATTTTATTTGATTTAATTATTTTTAATGACGACTAACAACTCGAATTGATTGTCGATTGTTAATTAGCCATTTGGTTTACTAAATGCACTTAGTTAATGTGTCACAGAGTCAAATTGTTGATTGTAAATTGAGATTAACTATCAAACTGCGATTATTTTGTTAATTTGAATCACAAGTCCATTGATTAGTAGACATTTCTACTTGAAAATTGACTCAATATTTGGCTTTTCGATAAGTAATTAATAAGAGATTCAGAGTGTCGAAAATTTTGTTTTACAATTAGATTAAGAATAATTGATTTCGAGATATGATATCCAGCGATTAAGATCAAAATTAATTGTTTTATTATCATGTACAAATTTGGTTAAAGTTTTTGAGTTTAGGTTTTGGGTTTTGCTTTGGGTTTTGGCGATGGCTTGATTATCATTATTATAATTATTATGATATTTAGAGTACAATCTAATACAATATTCATTTTCAATTTGATTTTCATCAATTTCTTTTCCTCTCTTTTTGATTAATGTAGTAAATTGTTTCTCTTTTTAAGCTTCTCAGGTTTGTAGTTGGACATTAACAATAGTTGTTTGCCACTTTTGTTTTCTTCATTCCAATCAATTGATATAATTGATTGTTGTGCAAAGGTGATAATCAATTCAATTAAAGAAATTCAATCATTCAATTTCTTATAGTTCTTGTTATTACTGGGTTGTTGTTTCTTCTACTGCTGTTGATTCAGTTTCGGTTTCGGTTTCGACTTCGATCTGTGTTGTTGTTTTTGTGCTTGTTGTTTCTGTTTCCGTTTCTGTTTCTGTTACTTCAACAGCCTCTGTTTCTGATGATAATGTTTCGGGAATTGTTTCTTTCTCTTGTGGTGATGCTAATGGAGTTTCATAATTTGGAGATGATGATGATGATTGAGTTGGTGACAATACTCCCTCTTCATTTATTGTTATTGTTGGAGATTTAATTGGTGATGAAGGTGATTTTGTTGCTACTGTAGTACATTCAGAGTCATTGTTATTGTCTGTGGCTTCTGTTGTTGTTATTGTTGTTGTTGGAGTTGGAGTTGTTGTTTGAGTTGGAGTTGTTGGTGTTGATGGTGTCGAGTCATCTTGATTCATTAGACGTTGTCTATTGATTAGATGTTGATACTCGCTTTGCCATTGCATCTTAATCACTGTACATTGATCTTTATTGTGCAAAATAATGTTATTCATTCGAGATGTTCTGTAACCACAATTATTCAAACAAGCGTAATTACCATCACTTTCATTAGGTGAAAAAGCACTTAATCGACCAGATTGATGTCTTATATGGAAACAACATCCATTAATTGTAAAATCGAAAAATTCACTTGGTCCTCTAGATTCCAGTAATCCTTTCATTGTTCTTTCCTCAGAATCATCAATACCCAAAATAACCCTTCTCTTCCCAATACTATCTCTTTCTCCATCATCATCCATATCAACATCCATATCAACATCCACATCATTATCATCATTAGAATCACTTCCAAAATGCATCAATAGTGGACCCGAATCAACAACTCGTTTACTCATCTTGAGTATCGGTTGAGGTGATGAAAGTGATTTACTCGGACTCTCCAATGAGGCTGGCCTATTTATGGGTGTTCTCTTACGTCCAGATAAACGTTTTTCTTTCCTTTTCTCGCCCATAAATGAAGTAGATTCCGAATCATCATCATCACCATCACCATCTTCATTTTCTTCATCTCGAATTACTTCAATTGATGTACCAGGAGCAAAATTAACTCTCTTCTTTGAAGGTGTCACGAAATCAGATGAGAAAACATCTTCTCGAATTGATGATTCGTCCGCACTTGAAGATGTTTCAATCTCAGTGTCCGACTTTCGTTTCCTACTACTTCGTGTACTACGAGTCTCTGAAACTGGAGTATCTAAATTGTCATCTCTTTTCGGTGATTTTACTGGACTTGAAGGTGTAACAAACAGATCATCATCATCGTTTGATTGAGCTGAACCAAGAGTAACTGTTTTCTTGGAAGGTGTCACAAAATCAGCAGAGAAAATATCTTCTCGATTTGAAGATTCATCAGCACTGGAAAAAGTTTCAATTTCAGTTTCTGCTTTTCGCTTTCTACTACTTCGAGTACTACGAGTCTCTGCAATCGTATTTTGTGTATCACTTGCTGTCGCTGTCGCTGTCGCTGTCGCTGTCGCTGATGCTCCAACAGAAGTAGAAAGCGTTTCTTTAGTTGAATTGTCATCTTTTCTAGGAGATTTAACTGGACTCGAAGGTGCAACAAACAGATCATTATCATCGGACAACTGATCGAGAGCGAAATTAACTTTCTTTTTAGAAGGTGTTACACAATCACCTGATACAATATCTTCTCGTACTGGTGAAGATTCAACTTCACATTCTGATTTTCGTCGACTGCTACTTCGTGTACTCCGAGTCTCTGGAACTGGAGTTTCTACAACTGATTCTTCACTTGGTGTTGTTGCAGAGACAGAAACATTATCATCGGAATTAGAATTAGAATTAGAATTAGTTATTGTTGATAGAGTTGAATTTTCATCTTTTTTAGGTGACTTAACGGGACTTGATGGAGTAGCAAACAAATCATTATCATCGTTTAATTGAGCTAAAGCAATGTTAACTCTTTTCTTGGGAGGAGGAATACAAGATGTTGTTGTTGATGTTGTTGTGTTTGTGGTTGTAGTTGTGGTTATGTTTGTAGTGGTCAAGGTGGTTGTTGTTGTTGTTACTTTTACTGGGGAATTAGGTTTCACTGGAGAAGTTATTTTTACTGGTGAAGTGACAACTCGACCAAGTTGAGGTACAGCACCAACTTTAATCATTGATGGAACTCCTGATGTCGATAAACTTTTATCATTACTGGAAATTACTCTTGAATAATCTTTACTGACCACTGACGATTTAGATGGACTCAAAGGAGTTGTAGTACTATTGTTATTGTCACAAGTTTCGTTAGTATCATTAGTATCATTATGATCGCTAGTAACAATTGGCTCAGAAACTTTTTTGGCTGATCGAAGTGTTGGAACATTAGAAACAGTCGGTGGTTTAACAATAAGTTTAGATGAAGCAAATGTTGAAGTTGCACCGGTTGTGGTCGCTGGAGTACAAGTGGTGGTGGTGAGAGTAGATGATGATGATGATGAGGTCGGAGAAACAGTCATCTCAGAATTCGTTGTCAGTGTTGTATCATCGACAGAATCAACAGGTAGATCAATCATATTCGAATCGCTCGTCGTAACATTGTCATCCAAGTTCTTGAGACCATTTTCTTCGATATTTTCCTCATTTAAATTGTCACCAGAATCAGAAATTGTTTTTGTTTCTATTTCCTTTGTTGTTGTTGTTGTTGTTGTTAAAGTAGTAGAAGAAGAAGAAGAAGAGGGAGAGGAAGTTGAAGTGGAAGAATTAGCCCGTTTAGTTAGAGAAGTAGTTTCGGGATTGAGCCAAACAATATTGTTCTTCTTGCTGTATGTCCGTCGAGAAGCAGCCAGTTGACTCGGTTTGGAAACACCTTCCGTCAAAATTGAAGAATCTGTAGTTTCAGATGCAGAAGATTTTGTTAGGTTGGAGAAATCTGAAGAGGAAGAATGTATCGCATCAGGTTGGACTGGGATGATGGGTGAAGATGAAGTGGTTGATAATGACGATGATGGGGTAATGGAAACACTAATATTCGACCTTCCCCTACTGGTCAAGGTTCTCCTTCGAGAATTTGTATTACTATTTGTATTAGTGTTAATGTTAATGTTAATGTTGTTATTTAGACTACTGTTACTACTGCTATTGAGATCACTGGTTTGGATTGAGAGACTTGTTGATGAATCCAAATGTTTCGAGGGAAGAAGTAAAGTTTCACCTATGGTTGTTGATGTTGCTGTGGTTGCGACCGATGTTGATGCTAATGTTGATGCTGATAAAGACGAAGATGATGTGGATGTGGTCGCAGATGCAGATGTGGATGCAGATGATTGGGAAGATGATGACAGAGTTGGTGTTGATGGTAGGAAGATACTTGTGACGAGTTACTTCGTGGTTTAGGTTGACGAGATAATCGGGAACGAGATGAGACACTTGTCACTTGATTATTTCTATTTGATGTATTCGATGGATTCACTGCCGATACAACGTTAGTTACCGGTGTCAATTCAATCCCAGAAGATGTTGATGACAATGTATAAGCTAAAGTTGTCTCCGAGAATGATGAAGGTGTTAAATTGGAACTGCTACTAACAGCGATCGCATTTCCCGATCCATCGGCTACTATTTGCAAAGAACCATCTTCCCCTGTTGTCGCCGCTTGACATGCAACTAAACCTTCACTTGTCTGAAGAAATATCGTCTGTCCAGAAGCCGAACCAGCATTTATTACATCGGCTAAATTTATTTCTTTCGGTAGTTCACCATCTTCTCCCGTTGTCATAATCACATAATTACTTTCACCAGCAGCCAGCATCGCATTGGCTACAAGGGAATCCAAAGAAGTGGTCGAATTTGCATCTTGAACTTGAATCACAGCTGACCCATAATTCATATTATTCCCATCAACAGTTATCTCCGATTTATCGCTAATAATAAGATCTTCTTTAGCATCTTCATGTAATTTACTAACTGCCTCACTTAGTTTACTGTTTATATCATCACAATTTGACATTGAATTTATCCCTTCAACAATTGATGCAATTGCTGAAGCTTCGGCTTCCGAAAAGTTTGATGTTGTTGATGTTGTGGTTGTTGCCATTGTTGTTGCGATACTTGTTGATGATGTTGATGTAATTGGAACCGATGTTGATGTTAATGTTGATGTTGGTATGGATATTGATGCTGATGCTTCATCTGATTCATCTATTAAATTTGCTGATTCAATTAAATCTGACTCGGTGGTTGTCATTGATTCTGTCGGTTCCGTTGAAGTTGTCGCCATTAATGGTCCAACAACCGATTGAACAACTTGAGTATCAGAGGCTGATGATGTTGTTGTAGCGATGAAATTTTCCTCCGTCATCAGGGTCGCTCCTCCTTCAACAATTGTCCCATCAGATTCAGAGACCACCATAACTGATGAATCTTCTGATGGCAAAGCAAGTGTATAAACTTGTCCACTTCCATCATCCATTTGAACTATATTTGCATTTAATGCTTCGGGTGGTAAACAAACTGTTTCTCCATTTTCACCTTGAAGAAAAACCAAAACCTCTCCAGTATTAGGATCTTGGGCTTGCTGCAAGATAACATGTAAAGACTCTCATCAATATCTTCACCATCCCCAGATACCAATTGGATAGTTACCATTGGATAGTCTCATGACCCGATCCTTCATCTCCCTGAACTTGCAATAAACTGAGAATCTGTTGGCCACTTTCATCACTAATTTCGGTTACCTGTTGATCAGTTGGTTCACTAGACATTTTAAATATTTCGTTAATTGTGAAAAAAAAGGAAAAAGAAAAAAAATACTCAATCAAAACAAAGAAATAAACAGATTACAAAAAAGCATTGCATCTCAATTCTAACAGTCACAAAATCTACAAGGTGGAGTTACAATCGTTTTTCATTCGAAAAGTGGGAGGAGCCACCGGTTGATTCTTTCATTGAGAATTTTCAAAACTTTTCTGATTGTTCATAAATCATGGTTTTTGAATGTGATTTTTATTTGTTTTCTGAGTTAGATTGGACATTAGTGAAAGAAGAATATCCAGTTGCTTCATTTGACAAATCTGTTTACGAAAATGTGAAAGGAGAAATGAATGATATGCCCATTAATCAACAACAAGTATCCATCGTGGGATTGCACCTTGACCGGGGTCCCAATAAACCATTGAGATGGGAATTGTTACATTCAGAATTACTCTATTTCGACAGTGGAGATGGTGAATGGTCAATGGAGCGAGTGAAAGATTTCTACAAAATAATAACTTCGCACTACTTGGATGCCGCTCGACAGCAATGCTTTTCTTACGTTGCCAAGCTCACCAAAAGACGAGATGCGGACATAGCAATTATCCATGATAAACATGAGAATAAATGTAATGGTACATCATAAGATTTTGATTAACAAAAGTTGTTTCATCGATTGTTGACCAATTAATGGAAAAATCTTCGACTGAACCAACAGAATCAATCACAACCACCGAGTTAGATATTATCGAATCAACAAATCTAATAGAATCAGAAACATTGGTTCCAATCACAAAAAAACAATCGCAACAACCGAAACACTACTTCTAACACTGATATTGACCTTTACAACCCTGAAACCTAATTAAATACCAAAATTTTGTTCAATCAATTAACAAAAAGTAATAAAATAACTTGAAAACTTAGTTGATCTCTACAAGAGACAAGTGGCTCCTCCCATTTTTTCAAAGAAAATGCTTCTACCTCCATTTTGTGACTGTTAGAATTGAGATGCAATGCTTTTTTGTAATCTGTTTATTTCTTTGTTTTGATTGAGTATTTTTTTTCTTTTTCCTTTTTTTTCAAAATTAACGAAATATTTAAAATGTCTAGTGAACCAACTGATCAACAGGTAACCGAAATTAGTGATGAAAGTGGCCAACAGATTCTCAGTTTATTGCAAGTTCAGGGAGATGAAGGATCGGGTCATGAGACTATCCAATTGGTAACCACTTCTGGGGATGGTGAAGATATTGATGGACAAGAGTCTTTACTTTTACAACCTGCGATCGAGGTGAATGGAGAGAGACATGTTATCTTGCAGCAAGCCCAAGATCCTAATACTGGAGAGGTTTTGGTTTTTCTTCAAGGTGAAAATGGAGAAACAGTTTGTTTACCACCCGAAGCATTAAATGCAAATATAGTTCAAATGGATGATGGAAGTGGACAAGTTTATACACTTGCTTTGCCATCAGAAGATTCATCAGTTATGGTGGTCTCTGAATCTGATGGGACAATTGTTGAAGGAGGAGCGACCCTGATGACGGAGGAAAATTTCATCGCTACAACAACATCATCAGCCTCTGATACTCAAGTTGTTCAATCGGTTGTTGGACCATTAATGGCGACAACTTCAACGGAACCGACAGAATCAATGACAACCACCGAGTCAGATTTAATTGAATCAGCAAATTTAATAGATGAATCAGATGAAGCATCAGCATCAATATCCATACCAACATCAACATTAACATCAACATCGGTCCAATTACATCAACATCATCAACAAGTATCGCAACAACAATAACAACCACAACATCAACAACATCAAACTTTTCGGAAGCCGAAGCTTCAGCAATGCATCAATTGTTGAAGGATAAATTCAATGTCAAATTGTGATATAAACAGTAAACTAAGTGAGGCAGTTAGTAAATTACATGAAGATGCTAAAGAAGATCTTATTATTAGCGATAAATCGGAGAAGTGTATAAACTTGTCCACTTCCATCATCCATTTGAACTATATTTGCATTTAATGCTTCGGGTGGTAAACAAACTGTTTCTCCATTTCACCTTGAAGAAAACCAAAACCTCCAGTATTAGGATCTTCTTGCTGCAGATAACATGTCTCTCTCCATTCACCTCGATCGCAGGTTGTAAAAGTAAAGACTCTTGTCCATCAATATCTTCACCATCCCCAGAAGTGGTTACCAATTGGATAGTCTCATGACCCGATCCTTCATCTCCCTGAACTTGCAATAAACTGAGAATCTGTTGGCCACTTTCATCACTAATTTCGGTTACCTGTTGATCAGTTGGTTCACTAGACATTTTAAATATTTCGTTAATTTTGAAAAAAAAGGAAAAAGAAAAAAAATACTCAATCAAAACAAAGAAATAAACAGATTACAAAAAAGCATTGCATCTCAATTCTAACAGTCACAAAATCTACAAGGTGGAGTTACAATCGTTTTTCATTCGAAAAGTGGGAGGAGCCACCGGTTGATTCTTTCATTGAGAATTTTCAAAACTTTTCTGATTGTTCATAAATCATGGTTTTTGAATGTGATTTTTATTTGTTTTCTGAGTTAGATTGGACATTAGTGAAAGAAGAATATCCAGTTGCTTCATTTGACAAATCTGTTTACGAAAATGTGAAAGGAGAAATGAATGATATGCCCATTAATCAACAACAAGTATCCATCGTGGGATTGCACCTTGACCGGGGTCCCAATAAACCATTGAGATGGGAATTGTTACATTCAGAATTACTCTATTTCGACAGTGGAGATGGTGAATGGTCAATGAGCGAGTGAAAGATTTCTACAAATAATAATCGCACTACTTGGATGCCGCTCGACAGCAACTTTTTTACGTTGCCAAGCTCACCAAAAGACGAGATGCGGACATAGCAATTATCCATGATAAACATGAGAATAAATGTAATGGTACATCATAAGATTTTGATTAACAAAGTTGTTTCATCGATTGTTGACCAATTAATGGAAAAATCTTCGACTGAACCAACAGAATCAATCACAACCACCGAGTTAGATATTATCGAATCAACAAATCTAATAGAATCAGAAACATTGGTTCCAATCAAAAAAACAATCGCAACAACCGAAACACTACTTCTAACACTGATATTGACCTTACAACCCTGAAACCTAATTAAATACCAAAATTTTGTTCAATCAATTAACAAAAGTAATAAAATAACTTGAAAACTTAGTTGATCTCAAAGAGACAAGTGGCTCCTCCCATTTTTCAAAGAAAATGCTTCTACCTCCATTTTGTGACTGTTAGAATTGAGATGCAATGCTTGATTCTGGTGACAATTTAAATGAGGAAAATATCGAAGAAAATGGTCTCAAGAACTTGATGACAATGTTACGACGAGCGATTCGAATATGATTGATCTACCTGTTGATTCTGTCGATGATACAACACTGACAACGAATTCTGAGATGACTGTTTCTCCGACCTCATCATCATCATCATCTACTCACCACCACCACTTGTACCCAGCGACCACAACGGTGCAACTTCAACATTTGCTTCATCTAAACTTATTGTTAAACCACCGACTGTTTCTAATGTTCCAACACTTCGATCAGCCAAAAAAGTTTCTGAGCCAATTGTTACTAGCGATCATAATGATACTAACGAAACTTGTGACAATAACAATAGTACTACAACTCCTTTGAGTCCATCAAAATCGTCAGTGGTCAGTAAAGATTATTCAAGAGTAATTTCCAGTAATGATAAAAGTTTATCGACATCAGGAGTTCCATCAATGATTAAAGTTGGTGCTGTACCTCAACTTGGTCGAGTTGTCACTTCACCAGTAAAAATAACTTCTCCAGTGAAACCTAATTCCCCAGTAAAAGTAACAACAACAACAACCACCTTGACCACTACAAACATAACAACAACTACAACTACAAACACAAACACAACATCTTGTATTCCTCCTCCCAAGAAAAGAGTTAACATTGCTTTAGCTCAATTAAACGATGATAATGATTTGTTTGCTACTCCATCAAGTCCCGTTAAGTCACCTAAAAAAGATGAAAATTCAACTCTATCAACAATAACTAATTCTAATTCTAATTTAATCGATGATAATGTTTCTGCAACAACACCAAGTGAAGAATCAGTTGTAGAAACTCCAGTTCCAGAGACTCGGAGTACACGAAGTAGCAGTCGACGAAAATCAGAATGTGAAGTTGAATCTTCACCAGTACGAGAAGATATTGTATCAGGTGATTGTGTAACACCTTCTAAAAAGAAAGTTAATTTCGCTCTCGATCAGTTGTCCGATGATAATGATCTGTTTGTTGCACCTTCGAGTCCAGTTAAATCTCCTAGAAAGATGACAATTAACTAAAGAAACGCTTACTGTTGGAGCATCAGCGACAGCGACAGCGACAGCAAGTGATACACAAAATACGATTGCAGAGACTCGTAGTACTCGAAGTAGTAGGAAGCGAAAAGCAGAAACTGAAATTGAAACTTTTTCCAGTGCTGATGAATCTTCAAATCGAGAAGATATTTTCTCTGCTGATTTTGTGACACCTTCCAAGAAAACAGTTACTCTTGGTTCAGCTCAATCAAACGATGATGATGATCTGTTTGTTACACCTTCAAGTCCAGTAAAATCACCGAAAAGAGATGACAATTTAGATACTCCAGTTTCAGAGACTCGTAGTACACGAAGTAGTAGGAAACGAAAGTCGGACACTGAGATTGAAACATCTTCAAGTGCGGACGAATCATCAATTCGAGAAGATGTTTTCTCATCTGATTTCGTGACACCTTCAAAGAAGAGAGTTAATTTTGCTCCCGGTACATCAATTGAAGTAATTCGAGATGAAGAAAATGAGGATGGTGATGGTGATGATGATGATTCGGAATCTACTTCATTTATGGGCGAGAAAAGGAAAGAGAAACGTTTATCTGGACGTAAGAGAACACCCATAAATAGGCCAGCCTCATTGGAGAGTCCGAGTAAATCACTTTCATCACCTCAACCGATACTCAAGATGAGTAAACGAGTTGTTGATTCGGGTCCACTATTGATGCATTTTGGAAGTGATTCTAATGATGATAATGATGTGGATGTTGATATGGATGTTGATGGAGAAAGAGATAGTATTGGGAAGAGAAGGGTTATTTTGGGTATTGATGATTCTGAGGAAAGAACAATGAAAGGATTACTGGAATCTAGAGGACCAAGTGAATTTTTCGATTTTACAATTAATGGATGTTGTTTCCATATAAGACATCAATCTGGTCGATTAAGTGCTTTTTCACCTAATGAAAGTGATGGTAATTACGCTTGTTTGAATAATTGTGGTTACAGAACATCTCGAATGAATAACATTATTTTGCACAATAAAGATCAATGTACAGTGATTAAGATGCAATGGCAAAGCGAGTATCAACATCTAATCAATAGACAACGTCTAATGAATCAAGATGACTCGACACCATCAACACCAACAACTCCAACTCAAACTCCAACAACAACAATAACAACAACAGAAGCCACAGACAATAACAATGACTCTGAATGTACTACAGTAGCAACAAAATCACCTTCATCACCAATTAAATCTCCAACAATAACAATAAATGAAGAGGGAGTAATGTCACCAACTCAATCATCATCATCATCTCCAAATTATGAAACTCCATTAGCATCACCACAAGAGAAAGAAACAATTCCCGAAACATTATCATCAGAAACAGAGGCTGTTGAAGTAACAGAAACAGAAACGGAAACAGAAACAACAGGCACAAAAACAACAACACAGATCGAAGTCGAAACCGAAACCGAAACTGAATCAACAGCAGTAGAAGAAACAACAACCCAGTAATAACAACAACTATAAGAAATTGAATGATTTTTTCTTTAATTGAATTGATTATCACCTTTGCACAACAATCAATTATATCAATTGATTGGAATGAAGAAAACAAAAGTGGCAAACAACTATTGTTAATGTCCAACTACAAACCTGAGAAGCTTAAAAAGAGAAACAATTTACTACATTAATCAAAAAGAGAGGAAAAGAAATTGATGAAAATCAAATTGAAAATGTATCTTCTAAATATCATAATAATAATAATTATAATGATGATAATCAAGCCATCGCCAAAACCCAAAGCAAAGCCCAATATGCCCCTTAACCAAATGATAATAAATCAATAATCAAATTTTCAAATTTTGTCCATTCATTATTATTCACAATAACCAAACTGTATAGACAAGCGACTAAGATAATTTAAACTGATTTAATCTAAGAATCAAACAATTTACACAATCACTCTGATTTCTCACCAAGTCAATTGTTTGATCTTAATTACTTTCTGAGGTCATTGTAACTCATTTCTCTTGGGTGGCTGATTTAAATCACTAAAATCTTGACCATTTCTTAAAGATTAACATGATTTATCAACAATCGTCCCTTTGAAAGTTTAATTTTGAAGCTCTAGGCAATTGAGAGCAATTAAATCACACAGTTTAAATTGTTTCTTAATCGTCATCAATTCTCATCTTTTTTTTTCATGATTTGGTGAAGTGATTTTACCAAAATTCAGGGCAACTTGAACCTGTTAACATCCATTATGTCAATCATAATTTTCACTCGCTATTAAAATAAATATATTTAGTTGAGATGAGAGTGATTTCTTTAATTAGAATTACTTTAAACAATTTGAACAACAACAACAGCAAATTATAATGATAATAGAGTGTGAGAAGCTCATTGACCTTAGGTCAGTAAAGCAGTAAACCAAGAAGAAAGTGAATAAATTCAGTGAAAGTTATCAAAAACAACAGCAAATTATAATGATAATAGAGTGTGAGAAGCTCATTGACCTTAGGTCAGTAAAGCAGTAAACCAAGAAGAAAGTGAATAAATTCAGTGAAAGTTATCAAACAATTATCGTTCTCTCGTGATGATTATGTAGGTGGTTGATAATTAAAGATTTAAAGTGGCAAATCCTTAGATTATCCACAGATTGGATTAGATTGGAAAGGGAATATATTGTCAATAGAAAGAGGATAATTAAGTGATGATCATAATGATAGTAACAACAAAAGAGAGGGAAACTGAAATTAGCTTAGTTTTGACCTAATTAAATTGGACAACTTGCTTCAGGTCAACTTTTACCTGCAATTTGATGTTGCCGTTGATTTCCCACCCACTCCATTCAACTATGCACTTTTGTTGAGAGAGAGAGAGAGAGAGAGAGAAAGAAAGAGAAACAGATAGAGAGGAGTTAACGGTAAATTGTTGGTACGGTGTTGATGGAGATGATGGTGTGTGTGTGTTTGTGTTGATGGAGGTGGAGAGAAAGTGACAATCAAGTGTAAGTGATGATGATTATTTAAGAAAGTAGAACTGATATAAAGGCATCTTTAAGCTTCCATAAGTAACTCATTTTTCATTTTACCTTTTTTATCATAACAATTCATTCATTTTAATTCATTGATTTGGTGATTTTCTTATTTTCAGTGATTGTGATCAATCAACTTGTTAATTGTTCATCTTTCTCTGTCTACTCGATTAAATTACAACAAGAAACCTCTTTTACAACTTTTCTAACAATTTATATAACTTTTAACTCTGTTTAACTTTCACCTACCTGTTGATTTAATCAAACAATTTAAGGATGTACATATTAAAAGTTGTCGCAGGTAAATTGATTTTTCAAATTTTCTAATTTCTAATCATTTCTTTAAAATAAACTAATCATATTTTTTGGACGATACATTAGACTAAGTGATGATTGATTGTTGATTGTTTCATTTGATTTTCTAGTTTTCTGTTTAATTTTGGTTGTTCGTTGTGAACCTGGGCGACCTTTAATCCCAGTTAACGGAACCGCCGGTGGCTCAGCAACTGCCGCTGAACCATTGGAAGTGGGTGTTGGTGGTCAACCTTTGACCGGCGATTCTGAGGGTAATGGTACAATGGAATTTGATTTCGTTAACTTACCTGGTTATGGTGTTGTCGACGATGCCAATAGTACATTGAACGGAACCTTCTCATGCTTCGAGCGTCGGTATGGTTATTATGCTGATGTTTCACGTTCTTGTCAAATGTTTCATCTTTGTTATCCGGTTCGTGAGCCTTCAGGCAATTCAATTGTTTACCAAAGATTTTCTTTCGTCTGTTCGGACAATGCTTTCTTTGACCAAGCCCATTTAGTTTGTGTTGAAAACGAAACCTCAATCGCCTGTGAGGATTCAGAGCATTATTATGAACCTTCAAATGATCGTCTAATGGAATCACTTCAGGCCACTCAACCAGGTATGTTTGCAACCGAAGATGAATCCATCAATGGAACCTCATCTTTACCTTCATCTTCAGATTCATCATCTTCTTCATCACCATCAGCACCTTCATCATTAACACCATCAGAATCCTCTCCATCTGAACAAGCTTATCATGTTTACAATTTATACAACGATTGGTACTAATCATTAATCATCATCATCACCATCAAATTTAATCAATATAAAAAGAAATCTAAGTTACTTTAAGAAGAAGAAAAAATCGATATAAAAAGATTTTCTTCAGGGTGACAATCATCATTCATTCATCACATAATAAACATAATCCTCGTTTGTCAATTGAGGTGCTTTCACGATCTTTATTATATCAGGATATATAAAGAAAGTAATAATAACAAAAACGATTCGGCACCGAACTAACCTAATTCACTGTTCCTATAAAAGCATCTTGGCCCGACTTTTATTTACTTTCTTTTCGTCATCATCATCATCTATTTTTTCATTTCTCTCTCTCTCTCTTGCTGATCTCTTGGGCACTTCGTTATTGCTGCAGTGATTTGAACCTGATTTAGGTCCAGACTCCATCCCTATCCCCTCACTCTCACTCACTCACTCCCTTAATGGTTCTACTTTAGTGGCCTGCATACCCTAATTTTAAATGGACTCAAAATATCGTCGTAAATCCCGAACTATTTTACTTACAATTTGATCATTAACTTCATTTACTCAATCAAATTGGTTAATTTGGACCAATCCTTCCTGTAATCACCTTAATATACTTTCTCCTTCCTCTCATCTTCACTCACTCTTTTTGTTTTCCACCATCATAATCATAATCATCATCATTATCATTATCATTATCCTGATCATCAACCTTTCTCTCCTAAAACAACAAACAAACAACTGCAAGTCTGTCAAAAACTGAAACGCTCAACTGATTATATCGCAAACACTTTTAATAGTCAAACGAAAGTGTAACAATTTAGATTATATTGTTAACTGAAATACCAAGTAAACCAAGTAGCAAGTATCAAATAGTCACCCTACTAGGCCACTTTCCCTTTCCCGACCTGAACACTCAATCGCTTAAATATATTTAACGTCAAAATCTTTAAAAACTAATTCCATCATAAATATACAACTATTATTATCATATTATTATTATATATCATTAACCGATTAATATTATTATCATATGATGAATGATTGTTATTATATTGTTATGATAATTATTATTATCTCTCTATGCAAATGCACCTTATATTTTTCAGCCATAAAACTTAACCATTAATGTGCATTACAATTTAATTTAATTGTTATTTTTTTATTCATTTTCAATAATAATTTGTTAATTATAACAAAACTCAAATTCTAATTGTGATTATTTTTAATTTGATTCAATCTTCACCTTGTATAAGATGATGAAATCATTGATATTAATACTAATTGTTTACGAAATAGTAATATTAATTTACTGTTATTTTGAATACTATTTGATATTAAATAGTCATCACCATTATTTAGATTGTTGAGTTAACAATTAAATTGTTCAGTTTCAAATTAGATTGTTGGATAAATTAACTTTTTGTTTTTCTTTTATTCTCATCAAATGTTATATTATCATCACATTAACTTTGATATTGAACAAAAAAAAAGGTGATTTCGTTTTCATCGTTGATGGTTGATGTTAATTGTTAATTAGCTCATGATCAAAATGAGTATCATCTTCATCAGAATGATTTAAAATTAACCAAGCTTAAATTGTCAGACAATGAATCTTTTTGATTAATCCAAGCTGATCGACCTGAATTCAATTTCATTCATCCATATGTAACTATTACTTTTACAATTAACCAAAATGAGTAACAATTAACCAATTGTAACAGTTATTATAAAGCCTAATTCTGATTCTTTTCAGATTCATTAGATGATTAAACAATTGCAATCAATCAAATAGTCGATTTAATCACAGTATATTAATACTATCAAATCAATGGTTCACTAAACCTGAAAGAGAGACCATTTTAATTGTTAAGACAATCAAATAGTTAATCATTAAATTGGGTAAGTAATATATGAATGTAGTTTTGTATGATAATTGTGATTAAAGAAGTCAAGACAATTAAACATGATTTATACATCAATAAGTATTATCATTATTATCATGATTATGCAAATAAAATCACCACTCAAATTTTATTTTGGAGTGACTGTGATGAACGGATTACAAGGCCTTCGAGAAATGACCTCAATGACCTTGAAAATCGTAGGGTCTCATTGTGAACAACGAATGAATAAGTAAATCTAACCTAACCTAAACCTTCCATGGGTATACTATGTGATTGAACAAGTTGTCAAATGCTTATGAGAATAAAATTTGATTTGAAAATTTATCTTAACAATTTCGTAAATTAAATGAGAGTGAAATAAAATGTCGATCTCCTAGAAAGTTATGCGATGCAACCTCATCTTCTGCCTCAGTGTGAACAGCGAATGAATAAGTCAAATTTACTAAACCTTCCATGGTCATCACCATGTGATTGCCAAGTTGTAAAATGCTTATGAGAATAAAATTTGCTTTGAAAATTTATCTTGAGAATTAATGATAAATAAGCCAATTTAGAGCGAGAGAAAGAGAATAGAAAATTTGGAAAACCTCTGAAAATGTGAAGAAAATTCGATTTCAATAAAGGGCTTTTTATCTACTTCAGCTATTTAACTAAATGTCTCAAGAACTAAAAGTCACATGAATGTCAAACTTGACCAGAAGACCGTAAAACGACTTTTAAACGTGTCCTTCGAGAAATGACCTCAATGACCTTGAAAATCGTAGGGTCGAGCGGGCAATTCTGTTGAGTCCTCTGGTCAAGTTTGACATTCATGTGACTTTTAGTTCTTGAGATATGCAGTGAAATAGCCGTTGTTGGTAAAAGAAACGCCCTGTATGTTTTTTTACAAACAAATTCAAATTATTTTGACAAAAACATTTTCTTTCTCAATGATTAATCAACGATCATGATTAACATTATGACAATCAACTGGTTGTTGTAATTGATTGTAGTAAATTAGTTTGGACATCGTGACAATTTATGAAAAAGAAATCATCTTGGTTGTTATTGGAAACATTATCGATTAATTGTCCACTTTATTAATGATTAGGAAATAGTCACAAGATGATTAACTAAGACAAGTTTTAATTCCCGAAATTATCTAAAAAATTAGCCAATCATAATTGAAATAATTCCTTTAATCATCATTCAGCTAATCTCAGGTTTAATTATCAGTTTTCCCAAGAACGATTAAGTTATGGTCAAAGTAAAAGGTTATTCAAAACTTGATGGATTAAATAAATTGCAATCAACTAAATTGTCAGCAATGAGCGAAAGTAAACCAGATAAACCAAAGGTAAGATTTAATTTCTTGATTGTTTCCATTTTCTAATGACAACTATCAATTATTCTGATTCTTTTCTAATACAAGAGTAAATGTCGATGTTCACCATTTACTTTCCTTCGTCGATTGATTGGAATTGGACTATTCACTTATGCGTTCATCGAGTGTTTCGATCAGATTCATGAATTGACAGCCGATTATCTGAGACATGAAGTAATCGAATCAGTTTCCGATCATATTGAAGATTTTGTGGAACCTCCAAATTTTTCATTCTGTTTTGATCTTCTCTCAACAATTAATTCAACCCAATTGTTGAAAGCTCATCCACACTTAAGTGATGAAATTGATAAAATTCGTAAACAAGAGCCACAATATAACAATTGGACCGAAAGTGCCATCATTCATGATTATACTCAAGGTGAATCAATGGTAACACGATGATTAACTTGATTGTTAACAATCTAATCAATTCTGATCTGAATTTAGGTCCTACTTTGGTTTTCAATTTAACCCTACAAGAGATTTTCAAACTTTTACCTCCTTTCAAAATTTCAATTGTGGCCTGTCAATATTTAAACGATCAATTGAAGCTCGAAAATTGTGACCATTCATATTTTACCGAATATATTTTCAATCAAATGATTTGCAATGAATTCATTTGGCATCCAATTAATAGCACAATTAAAGCGATTAAATTTCCTTATGATGGTATTAAGATTCCCGGTTTTCAGAATACCCGATTCTTGGCTTTATACCTTGACCTTAGCCACTTGTTGAATGTTACCGTTATGTCGGTCATGGCCCATTCATCGAACGAGGTTTCCTGGGATCCTGAGGCGACGACACTTGAAATGTACCCTGAATATGGTGAGGCCAAAATTTATGGACTTTCCTATCATAAAACCTCACGAAGATCATTACCATCGCCATGGCAGTCAAATTGTACCGATTTCACGGAGACTCCTTACATCTCAAGGCAGGATTGTCTACAGAACTGTTCGGTTTTCCGATTCATCAATAAAACCTCACGAATCCCTCGATATGCGATAATCAGATCATTCGATGAGAATAAAATTCTTCATGATTATAAGGAACGGGAACATTATCAAGGATTCATTCAAAGATTATCAGAAAATTGTAACAAAATCTGTGGTACTTCTGATTGTTATTCCGAAGATTTCAGCTTGGCAGTTCTTTATTCACCTCGACAATCAATTCATTCGGGTAAAAAGTTAATCATTCACATTTATCCACCAACGAAGCCCGATACAGCGGTCAACACTTCGCCCTCATTGACCTTCCAGTATTATTTTGCCTCCATTGGAGGAACATTGGGAATTTGGTTTGGTTTCTCATTCTATTCGTGTTTAATATTTCTCTTTGATACAACACCAAAGATAATTAACACAATTAAAAGTTGTTGTTCACGAAAATCAAAGAAAACTAAACAATCAGCACCATTGAAAAACGAAAATAATCAAATCAATGGCGATCAAAATATTGGACAATCAACAGATCGATACTAGAAAACTTTGTTTCCATTTGCACTTTCCTGGTAAAAGATTGAACAACATTGATTTTACTCATTGATTAGTTAATTGTTGTAACGATTAGAGTAATGATAGAGACACATTAAGATGTATAATTGTTTTAGAAAATAAATAATTAGTTTAATTGATCAAAATGGTTTTTAAACGAGAGTTGAGTTCACATTGAAATATAAATAGGAAATGAAGAGTTGTAGTGATTAAGAAAAGTTGAGAAAATTAAGATTGATTATTAGGAGGATCAGATTTTAGTGGGGATTGGGTGTTGGTTAGAGAGTGGGTTAGGTTGGGGAGGGAAGGTAAATCCTTATACTGATGTTTATCGTCATTTTTGAGGCTAATTGTTGGTCAGTTGATTGATTGGGTTGATTACGAATAATAAATAAATATAATTTATACTCAAAGACATAACCAGATGATTTGAGTTTCTCATGATATGTTGATGATTGTGACACTCAGTTGATTGTTGTTAACTCGTTAACCATTGATTTGATTGACTTATCGTCTTCTATCAGTGTTAAGGATAATTTCACCACCGAATCCATCTTTGCTTACAATATTGGCTCCTTTACCTTTCTTGCCCTTTAAAAGTAAAAAGATTAATCAGTTAATTGTTAGGAATCAGTTGATCGAGAAACTTTTTTACTAATACTTACAGTTTGGAGAACGAGCTTGTCACCAAATCCTCCTTGGAGAACAATGTTTGAACCCTTGTCTAGATTGCGAAGAAAGAAACAATCAAGATCATGATTAGTTAATCTCGATTAGTTAATCAATAGATTGATCAATTAGATGAACAATTAACTTACTTCCAGCTTGAGCTTCCATGATAACACCAACGGAGATGAGGAGGACACAGATAAGAACAACTTTTGAAACCATTTTGATTGATTGAGTTTGATAAGTTTTTCACTTTAGTAAATTGTTGATTGTTGGATTGTTGTGATTTGTTGATTTGTCAACTGTTAACTGATTGTTTCTTTCGGTAAGAGACTCTGTTTATATATGAAAATATTTCTCACTCGAAAATGATTCTGTTCATATGCTGAGAAGTTATGGTTCACCGAATTAATTTGATTCTCTCTCTCTCTCTCTCGATGTCATTAAAAAATCCTTTCGATAATTGTGATAATCAACCACATTTAATTATTTCGACAGAATGATTAAAGGCCATACACAAACATACACTTCTCTGATTCTCTCTCTCTCTCTCTCGATGTCATTAAAAAATCCTTTCGATAATTGTGATAATCAACCACATTTAATTATTTCGACAGAATGATTAAAGGCCATACACAAACATACACTTTCTCTCACAATTAAATAATTATCCTGACATCTAAATTGTGTTACTACTGTTGTGAACTCTTCGGGTTGATGATTAACTAATTTAATCACAAAATTGAAGGTAAAAGGCGGAAGGAAACATTTTCGTTCACAAATTATTATTAATCGTTACTAAATTGTAATCGTCGTCAACGTGATACAATTTATATTAATATTGCACAATGATTATGTCTCTTGATTGTCACACTATTATTATGATAATCATGATAGACTTGATTATGAAATCAAGAAGTTAGAATGATCAACAACAATAATAATAATGAAAAGGGTAACAATCAACTTGACTGATTAACTTTCTAGCTACTGAGTATTAATTGTGATTGTTAAATTGTTTCCTCTATTAACCTCAATTGTTTTTCAGTTGGTTTGCTATCCGTTCAATTAGTTTTCCATTATAAACAAATTAACTTTACTTTTTCCATTAAAAAAATTTAATTTAGATAATCATCTAATCATTATAAATAACCTTTAACCCTTTTCATATTCAATAATTAACACGTTCACGATTAATTGTTATATATATTTGAATACTTGGGAGGATTTGGAGAGAGTAAATCAATTAAGGCCAACAGGAATAGAGTTAATAAATTGTCAACTTAATTGTTGGGTTCGCAGGTGATCAACTAATCATTTTAATATTTTTTCCCTCTGTTTATTAGTATTAAGTTTTTTTTGGAGACAATGATTTGTCACAATTAGTGGTAATTAGACAATCAAATATGCTATAATTAAAGATTTTTGTTGTTGTTGTTGTTGGAAGCAAGTAATTAGAGGATAATTTGATTGTTGATGAAGTAATTAAAGTAAATTAAGTTGCAAATTATTAGGAATTGAGTTGAAAGAGGATGACACAAGATTTTCCAATCAATCCAAATGAGTTAATTTTGTATTGAATATTATCATTGATACAAAAGGAATTGTTTTACTTAAAGTATCACAGTTTTTGGTGGTTGATTGTTGATGGTCACTCGATAGTTGAGAGATGATGGACATTATGTTAGAGAGCAACAAGCTTCTCCGACTGACCAATTGTGACACGATAAAGCGGAGATTAATGATTCATCCGATTCATGGGGTAACATGTCTCTTAGTGATTCTAATGCAAGCTCGAAATCTGGAAACTCGAAACGTTTCATTGGATCGTTGGAAGCATAAATCGCTGTCCAGTAACTTGCTGTTCTAAAGAAAAGATCATGACGATTTCTGTATTGATAGGCGACCGATGCGTCTAATGGATTTGAAGGCTCTGGGTCTTGGAGAAGCGATTGAAGAGACAATAGAACACCTCTTATGGTTAGAGCGGCGGCCCACTTATTGTCCAAAATATCGAGACAAATACAACCAGTTATCGATGAAACGTTCGGATGCCAGAGACGGGTGAGAAATCGTACTTTCGGTGGTGAGAATGGATACTTTTTGGACATTCGAAGATCTACCTTGAACATACCATCGAAATAAGGAGTGTCCGGTGGTCCAGCGATGGTCGCTTTCATATGGAATAGATTATCTTCAACTGTGTCGATTGAGAAACGATTCTCAGAGAAATCAGGGTGACTCCTCATTTCTTGAAGCTCCTTTTTTAATCGAGCCGAGGCAATATCAGACATTTCGATTGTTCTTTTTGTACTTTAATTGAAGTAATTGTCAACCAAGACAAAGGATAATTAAGATTTTTATCCAAGCCTATTAAATGGGATTCAGGTAAACTCCAATAATAATCAACATTGACACAATCAAACAGTTTAACACGTGAACAGCAATTTAAAACTGTTCAACTGATTGTTAAATTATCCTTGTTGATTTAATGTAATCTCGCAACAATTAACAGTTTGTTTGTTTGTTTTACTTGTTTGAATGATTGTTGGTTATTTGTGTAAAGTGTTTTATATAAAAAAATATATATTGTTGAAGAAGAGACAATGATGGTTATCACTTTAGGGCAATATTGATTATTTTAATTTCGTCGTGTGGTTTATCTTGTTGATTTGTTTTCATTTGACTGATGTTTTGACAAGTTTCCATTCCTTTGAAGACTCGTCCAAATATCGTGTGTTTATTATCCAACCATGGACAAGGAACAACGGTGATGAAAAATTGTGACCCATTGGCATTTGGTCCTGAATTGGCCATACTGAGGGTGTAAGGTTTATCGTGCTTAAGGTTAGGGTGAAATTCATCGATAAAATCATGTCCCCAAATTGATTCACCACCGGTTCCAGTTCCGGTTGGATCTCCTGTCAGAGCAGCTTTTACTCTTACTCGGCTCACGCCGATCTTTTCTGGCTCAGCTACTGACTATCAAACTGACTTTTTTCAAACAAATTTTTTGTAATCAGTTTACATCTTTGTTTGATTTACTATTTTTTTCTTTAACTTTTTTCTCGATTAACAAAATATTTAAAATGTCTAGTGAACCAACTGATCAACAGGTAGCCGAAATTAGTGATGAAAGTTTCCAACAGATTCTCAGTTTAGGGCAAGTTCAGGAAGATAAAAGATCGAGTCATGAGAAAATCCAATTGGTACCCGCTTCTGAGGATTATGATAAGATGGCTTCTTTGGATTCGATTGTTTTTGAACATTTTCAATCGACAATGCCAATGAAGTTCAACAAGCTCCAATCATCATATATTAGGCTCCATCTCCAACGGGCCCCTGGTTTGCCCTTCGACTACCAACAATTGAAATGTGGCTTAGAAATCGCGGATGGACGAGAGTGGACATTAAAGATGATCCGTGACTTCTACTCTTTGGTCTCATTAGGCTATTTGGAGAGCGCGGACAAGCATGGGATTGCAGTTCCAGAATTGTTTAGAGCCGACAGAAAGCCGATTTAGATCTCCTAGAAATCTATGCGATGCAACCTCATCTTCTACCCAAACCTAAATATGCTCTTCAACCTAACCTTATACCTCATTGTGAACAGCCAATGAATAAGTAAAATTTACTAAACCTTCCATGGTCACACCATGTGATTGCCAACTTGTAAAATGCTTATGAGAATAAAATTTGCTTTGAAAATTTATCTTGAGAATTAATACTAAATAAGTCAATTTAGAGAAGAAGAGAGAAAGAGAAAATAGAAATTCAGCTAAATGTTGATGGGAAACATCACTAATGACAAATCACCTTTACCACGAACTCGATGACATCTATTGGTTGACCAATCGATCATTTTAATTCCAAGTGGTGTTGGATAAATTAAAAAGGTTCCACTTTTATCGAAGCAAATTGTTTGGTGAGAAAATGCCTCTGATCGCTCCAGGTCTTCCTCGATTGCTTTTCGACGATTAAATTCATATGGTGGTAATACTTTCTTCTCTGATTGTAGGTTACAGAATATCGGTAAACTTTCATCGAAAACTCTAATCATCTTGTCCGTTTTAAATTTGAATAATCGGATTTTACGATCAGCCGAAAGTGTTGCAAAGTAATTATACTGAGCTGATGACCAATATTCAATCATGGAGGTTTTATCGATGGAAATGACCGTTGAGAAGACTTGATTATATTTAATTGTGACCACTGGACCCATATGATTTTTATCCAACACTTTAATGGGAATTTTACTCTCTTTACCATCGTAAATATTGATTAAAGGTTTATCTTCTTGTGATAAGGCCAATCCTTGTGTAGCATCACCAGTACGTAGTGATTTTCGATATGACGACTAGTCATATCGATCGACGGAATATCGATATAAAAGAAAGAGAAAAAATTTGACAAACTAATAATAATAAATCTAACGTACACGTTTAAGTAGTTTTTGTGATCGAAATATCGATTTCTATCGAAAGAAAAAATATCGATATTTCGAACTGTTTAAACAGCACTAGATGAATACATCGCTTTGTTGTGATCTGTTTATTTCTTTGATTTGATTGGCTATTTTTCTCAATTAACAAAATATTTGAAATGTCTAGTGAACCAACTGATCAACAGGTAACCAAAATCAGTGATGAAAGTGGCCGAAAGAGTCCCAGTTTATTGCAAACTCAGGAAGATAATGAATCGGGATGGATATTGACTTTTGAGGATGGTGGTTATATGCCAGCACCTTATTTGGATTCAATTGTTTTTGAAAATTATCAATCGGCAATGCCATTTAAGTTCAACAAGCACCAAATATCATATGTTGGTATTCATCTCCAACGGGGTGCTGTTATGGCCTTGGACTATCCACTCCTGAAAGCCAGCTTAGAATTTGCGGGTGGCGGGGGAGAATGGACATTCGAGATGGTCCGTGACTTCTACTCTTTGGTTTCGATGGTCTACTTGGAGTGCGCGGAAAAGCATAGGTTTATTGTTCCAGATAAGCTTAGACGTCGCCAGAAAGCCGATGTTGATCTCTTAGAAAGCTATGCGATGCAACCTCATCTTATACCGAAATCTAAATTTTCTCTTCAACCTAACCTTCTACCTCAGTGCGAACAGCCAATGAATAAGTAAAATTTACTTTTTCCAGAAAAGTTCTTTGTAATCTGTTTACATCTTTGTTTGATTTACTATTTTTTTCTTTAACTTTTTTCTCAATTAACAAAATATTTAAAATGTCTATCTAATGTGTTATCATTTAAAGTTGTACCAGACTTTGCTTTAGCTCTTTCCATTCGAAGATCTACCTTGAACACACCATCGAAATAAGGAGTGTCCGGTTAGGTCCAATCCTGATGGTCGAAAATTTAAAATTTTCACCCTTACCAAGAACTCGATGACATCTATTGGTTGACCAATCGATCTTTTTATTCCAAGTGGCGTTGGATAAATTAAAAAGGTTCCACTTTTATCGAAGCAAATTGTTTGGTGAGAAAATGCCTCTGATCGCTCCAAGTCTTCCTCGATTGCTTTTCGACGATTAAATTCATATGGTGGTAATACTAGTATTTCTTTCCCGTTTTAAAGTCAAAGTGAACAACTTATACTCTCACTCGGCACAAGCCGATCTATTTTTTCTGGCTCAGCTACTGACTATCAAGCTGACTTTTTTCAATCTGTTTATATCTTTGTTTGATTTACTATTTTTTTCTTTAACTTTTTTCTCGATTAACAAAATATTGAAAATGTCTAGTGAACCAACTGATCAACAGGTAGCCGAAATTAGTGATGAAAGTTTCCAACAGATTCTCAGTTTAGGGCAAGTCCAGGAAAATAAAAGATCGGGTCATGAGAAAATCCAATTGGTACCCGCTTCTGAGGATTATGATAAGATGGCTTCTTTGGATTCGATTGTTTTTGAACAATTTCAATCGACAATGCCAATGAAGTTCAACAAGCTCCAATCATCATATATTAGGCTCCATCTCCAACGGGCACCTAGCATGCCCTTTGACTATCAACATTTGAAATATGGCCTGGAAATTGCGGATGGGCGAGAGTGGACATTTGAGATGGTCCGTGACTTCTACTCTTTAATCTCATTCGGCTATTTGGAGAGCGCGGACAAGCATGGGATTGCAGTTCCAGAATTGTTTAGGAGCCGACAGAAAGCCGATTTAGATCTCCTAGAAATCTATGCGATGCAACCTCATCTTGTACCCAAACCTAAATATGCTCGTCAACCTAACCTTATACCTCATTGTGAACAACGAACGAATAGGTAAATTTACCAAACCTTCCATGTGAATGAACAAGTTGTCAAAATGAATAAAATTTGATTTGAAAATTTATCTCAGCAATTGCGTAAATTAAAATGTGTAAGTCAATTTAAAGAGAGAGAAAGAGAGAATAGAGAATTTGGAAAACCTTTGAAAATGGAAAGAAAAATCTTCCAGTTCAATATACATGTATCTCCATATCAGAGAAAACAGCTAAATGTTGTTGGGAAATATCACTAATGACAAATTGATGTTCCTTCGGTATATTGAAGAAGAGACAATCAAATTAACAATGATGGTTATCACTTTAGGGCAATATTGATTATTTTAATTTCGTCGTGAGGTTTATCTTGTTGATTTGTTTTCATTTGACTGATGTTTTGACAAGTTTCCATTCCTTTGAAGACTCGTCCAAATATCGTGTGTTTATTATCCAACCATGGACAAGGAACAACGGTGATGAAAAATTGTGACCCATTGGCATTTGGTCCTGAATTGGCCATACTGAGGGTGTAAGGTTTATCATGCTTAAGGTTAGGGTGAAATTCATCGATAAAATCATGTCCCCAAATTGATTCACCACCGGTTCCAGTTCCGGTTGGATCTCCAGTCTGAATCATGAATTGTTTGATAACTCGGTGAAATATGTGACCATTGAAATAACCGTTTTCGCATGGACACAGAAATTTTCAACAGCTTTAGGAGCTTCTTTGGGAAATAGTTTAACATGAATATCGCCCATAGATGTATGAATTACTGCTGACTCAAAGATTCGAGATTTAGATGAAGATTCTATAGCGGAGATCATTACTTCTTTCGGTGGTTTCTCATTGAATATATCTCGATCACCGAGACCATCGTCATTGGCCTCAGGGTCACGCTTGGAAAAGATATAGAAACGATTCTTTTTAAATGCAGAGACAAAAAGTGATGGATCAGCTTGAAATCTTTCCTCTAAATTATGATTCTCAGCAGTTAGACTGCTCAATGTCGCCGATCCTTCCGGTTTATTTGGAATACCCTGGTATAAGGCCAATCCTAGTGGTCGAAAGTTTTCACCTTTACCAAGAACTCGATGACATCTATTGGTTGACCAATCGATCATTTTAATTCCAAGTGGTGTTGGATAAATTAAAAAGGTTCCACTTTTATCGAAGCAAATTGTTTGATGAGAAAATGCCTCTGATCGCTCCAAGTCTTCTTCGATTGCTTTTCGACGATTAAATTCATATGGTGGTAATACTTTCTTCTCTGATTGTAGGTTACAGAATATCGGTAAACTTTCATCGAAAACTCTAATCATCTTGCCCGTTTTAAATTTGAATAATCGGATTTTACGATCAGCCGAAAGTGTTGCAAAGTAAAGTCCATTTTCGGTGAAAGTTAAATCAATTATTTTCGTCTCTTCTTTAGCCAATTCATATAAATCGGTGTCTGTTTTGTATTTAAAGTCAACCCGATCTTCGGGAAAAACATAATCATACTGAGCTGATGACCAATATTCAATCATGGAGGTTTTATCAATGGAAATGACCGTTGAGAAGACTTGATTATATTTAATTGCGACCACTGGACCCATATGATTTTTATCCAACACTTTAATGGGAATTTTACTTTCTTTACCATCGTAAATATTGATTAAAGGTTTATCTTCTTGTGATAAGGCCAATCCTTGTGTAGCATCACCAGGAGAGTAGATCCATTCACATGTAAGTGGCAGATAATCAAGATTAAATATATTTATCATATCGAAATTGATTATATCAAAAATATCCATGGTTAAATCTTTTGAAATGGAAACAAGTAAAGTCCCATCACCAGAAGCGGCCAAATGAATGATTGGTCCTCGGTGGGCCTTGTAGTGTTTAACAAATTCAATCTGTCCAGGTAACTTTTTCCAAAATTTAATTGTTCCATCAATCGAGGCTGTAATAATAAAATCGGTTAATCGAGTAACAATTAAGTGAGTAATTGTATCTAAATGCATGAAACTGCGCTCATAGTTTTCACAATCAGGTAAACTGTCAAGGAGTAATTGTTGTAAAGATTTTTTGTCCATGATGGTCACAATTAGAAGTTAATTATAACACCGATTTCAGGATTAATTTAGACAGAAAATTCAGAATTAGAATACAAGAAAAATCAGTTGATTAAAATGAGAAATGAAAACAAATTCACTTTGAAATGGAAATGTAAACATTTGCATTTCCATGTGTTGGAAAAAGCGCCAAATACATAATCGGATTTAATGGAGAAAATGGTTAACTGTTACTCTCTCACTGATTGTGTTCTCTCATTTTTGATGATCAGCGAAAAATTATCAATCAATTTGTTGGAATCATTGGTTTAATCACTGGTCGAATTTCTTTTCTAATTGGAGATGATTGTTTACTGATCAATAAGATTGAGAAAAAAAAAGATATTTCGATTGATATTTAATTTGTTGTAAATTGTGCTCTTTTATTTATACTATTAAATTTGTGTTTAATTGCTTCAAGGATTAAGCAATAGTTTGTATTATGTGTGTTTTGTACTAACAATTTTGTAAATTAAAATGAGTAAGTCAATTGAGAGAAGAGGAAGAGAGAGAATAGAAAATTTGGAAAACCTCTGAAAATGAGAAGAAAAATCTTCCATTTCAAAACTTTATATCATGCTGACAGATGAATTAGAGACTGAAGAGAATCAAAAAAGAGGAAGATAATTGTCGTAATTATTAAGAAGAAAAATATAAGTAACTTGGATGGTAGATTGTGTTGTTTGTTGATGAAAAGGAGAAATTTTTTTCTTTCAATCTCAGAGGTTTTCTAAAAGGAAAGTGAATTTAGTTCCATCTTCAAGTGAGAAGAGAAAGGGAGCAAAAAGGATGATGAGAAGGAACTAACAGTTGACAAGGGGAAAAAAAGATGTTTCATGAAGAGAAAAAGAAAGAGAAGTTCTCTGATGGTGAACAGCAACATGGCGGGAATCGGATATAATTGTTGACATCTCTTCTAAGTGAAGCATCAATGGAATCAGTCAACCTTGTTCTGTTGGTTTCTCTTGAGTAACCTCGTAATGACGATATTCTGGTTTCAGTTCCCACATATTCTTGTGAGGATTTTTAGTGTTGTATACACAGATTTCTTTCAGAATTTCTTTTAAATAAGTCTATGGAGATGGAGGGGAAATGAGAAAATTATCAATAAAAGGCAATTGAGTAATCATGTGTGTCAATGGTTTTCTTTCAATTCTACTTACACTTGGTTGTTTTGTGATTCTTTCCAAATCCTTACTGTAATAATACTGATGTTTCTCAAAGGCTGTGAATAACATTTCCATCACTTTGTCTTTTTCTTCACGAGATCTTTTACCTTCAGCCTTTTTCCTAGCATCATTCATAACCTAAGTTTCATATGAAGAAAAGAAGAGGAATAAATAATTATTATTATATTGGTTTGAGAGAGGAAAAGAAAAAGATTTTCTTACCTCAACTTTATGATGCGAAACTGGTAAATAGCTGATCGGTGTTTGATCTAACTTTAATACGGTTCTTTGAGGTTTATTGGCTTTTTCCATTTGTTTAGCTTTTAATCTCATATAATTCATATCGCCAGTGGGTCGACATTCAGCTTTTTGAACAACATTTCCCTCTAAAACGAGACCCGATCCATTCGTTGATTTGTCATCAGTAGGATGAGAGAAAACAGCTAAATGTTGATGGGAAATATCACTAATGACAAATTGATGTTCCTTTGGTATATTTACATCATTAGAAGTTGTACCAGATTTTGCTTTAGCTCTTTCCATAACATCTTTAGAGAGGTCAAAAAATATCTCAGGTTTAATTCCTGCTCCTCGACTTAATTAATCAAGAACAACAGCGCAGTTATAAAACAATTAAAAGAACGAAGAGTAAAAGAATAAATATTTTAGAAAACAAATTAGAACAAAGAATAATTTACAAACATAGAGAAAAACTAATCTCATCAGTAGACCAAAATTTTTCTCTTTTCTTCGAGTTGATGATTCATTTTCACTTACTTGGTGATTTTAAGTCGACCAAGTTCAGCCATTGATGGAGCACTTTCCCATTCATTGGCCATATATTTGGGCACTTTTACCAACCAAACACCTCTGGAAGCATTTAGAATGTCCAATTCATTACTAGTTGATGTTGAATTGGTCATCATTTGATTTGACAATACGAAAAACTAACGAGATTTACCTTGTGTGGGAACAAAAGAAAAAATCAAAATAAAAAATCAAAAAGCAAATTTTGTGTTTAAATGGAAACGCGGTTACTATGGTTTCCATTAACCGCGGCGGTTTAATTACCGTCGACAAAATCCTTTGTGTCAACCGTAAAGGCTAAATAAAATTTGTCATGCAACAATTAAATCACAATTGTCTATGTACAGGTGTCTATTTGTTGGATTAGTTAATTGAGATTTTAAACTTTGATTGTTGAGATTAGTATTTTTGTTTAATATTCGTTAGAGTACATTTTAGCAAAGCAAGATGAAGAAGAGAAATTTCTTTGATTATTAAAACATTTTAATCGAAGATTCGTTGTTAATTGTTGTTGTTGTGGTTGACTCAATGATCAATATTCAGTGTGTTGATTAGAAGCTGAGTTGTTGTAGTTGTAGTTGTTGTTTATAAAAGAAAAAGGAAAAGTCGATTGGAAAAATTGTGAGAATGTTGATTTTCTTGGTGTTTCTTTTTCTTTGTTATTGTAATTGTAATTAGTGTTACGATTTAATTTCTAAGTTGATTAAACCAATTTCTGTGTTAAGGTAGCATTTTTAAGATTTGCATCACCAACAGTTTGTGTCTCGTCTGTTAATTGTTTAGTTGGAAAATTGGTCATCAAAATGAAAGGAAGAGGACCATAAGCTGGACGAGCATCGCAAATATAACTACGAATATCTTGAATAGTGTGATCCAAATTAACTTTTACCACAATTCTACAAAGAAGAAAAAAAGGAAAAAATATTAAATTGATGAGAAAAATTGAAATGAAAATTTTCTTCCAGATTAATCGTTACCTTGATCCATCTGATAATCTAATTTGAATATTGGTTGTTGGCTTTGATTCATCAGTTTTCAATCGTTTCTTGGCTTCATCTTCATTGACCTTATTGTCACCAGAATCTTGTAAACTAGAACCATGAGCACCGATTGTTTCAGGTGTGACATTACCTAATCGATGACCTTCCCCAGCGAAAGCTTTTACCTTTCGCTTGGGTTCAACATATTCTTCCGTTCGATGATCTTCCATGATTAGATTAACTTCACCACCACGAGCGGTCCGAACTAATTCCTTAGGTACCTCACCTCGAGAAATTGACTCCAAGAATTCACGATTCTGTGGATCATTGAAAGTACGAAGAGGCCCATCATCAACACTGAAACCATTTATCCACATTTTCAATGCCATGCTCAACCTTTTCTGCCCAAATTCAGGGCTGGAAGACGATTCTCCACCAGCAGCCTGATCTTCACCTTGCTCTTCATCATCAAGCTTTTTACCCTTTCCTGTGAAAAGAACAGCAAAAATTATGAAATCATTTAAATAAATAAGAGAATAAAGAAATAAAAGAATTGTTTTTTTGTTCGTTTTAATACCTTTGAAAGCAGTAAATTTCCTTGATGGTTCAGGACTTTCTGGTTCTACTGGTTGAGCTCCCTGTTCTCGGGCTGCTCGGAATACATTTTTAATCACCTCATTGGGATCAGCTTTATCTCTGTTTGGACCTAAAACCTGTTGACCTGATTTCTCCGATCCACCAACATAAAAAGCTTGACCCTCATCATCGCTACTTGATTGTTGCTGTTGCTGTTGATTCAATGATCCCAATGTTGCTATTCTTGGTCTACCACTTGTATCCTTTTTCCGAGGCTTGTCACTTTTACCTTCCATTATTTTTCCAATTAACACCAACAAATTTTTATTCTACAAAGACTAAAGAAGAACAATTAACACTCGTATGTAAAAAATAAAAGAAGAAACCTTTAAATCATCAACTGACAAAATGATTAAAATTGAACAAGACAAACAAATTGTTTACAATTAAAAAAAAATCCAAAATCAGATGATTCGGTTGAGTATTCAGATAGTATTCGATAATATCTGATACGAATATCGGTTGGATTCTTTGTTTGGATTGTTTATCTTTTTTGAATTTTTGAATTTTCTTTTCACCTTTGGTTTGATTTAATTGTTTGGTGTTTTCTTTTGTAAATAACTTTGTTTATTTTTAACTTTTATTGATTTTCTCTGATTAAATTATGGAGAGTAAAAGTGACGAACCTCAAGAAGAGGTTAAAAGTTCTCTGAATTGTGAAATACCGACAACAAGTCAATAAATGATGAAGAGAAATCAAGTGATGAAGATGATGAGGAGGATTATCAAGTCGCCGGTACATCGAAATCAAATCAAGTGATTAAAAGTAAAGATGGTGAAGATGAAGAGGATGGTTATGATTCTGCTGATGATGATGAGGATGTGGTTAGTGTTAATCGTTATGATACAGTTCCATCTTCTTCTGAGATTGAATTAATCCATGGTAATAAAACTGTTTCTGCTCTTGCTTTGGATCCAAATGGTTCCAGATTAATCTCTGGTGGTGTTGATTATGAATTAAGATTTTGGGATTTTCAAGGGATGGACTCTAGTCTTGAATCTTTTCGAACAATTAAACCATGCGAATGTCATCCGATTAAAAATTTAGAATATTCAACCAATGGTGATCTTGTCTTGGTTATATCTGGAAGTTGTCAGGCTAAAATTGTCGATAGAGATGGTTACGTAAAAATGGAATGTCCTAAAGGTGATCAGTATATTCGTGATATGGCCAAAACTCGAGGACACATTTCAATGTTAAATTATGGCTGTTGGAATCCAAGAGAACGAAGTGAATTCATTACCTGTTCAAACGATGGAACCATTAGACTTTGGAATGTTGAAAATGAGCTTAAAGAGCAGCGAAATGTAATCAAATGTCGTAATCAAGGTGGACTCAAAGCCATACCCAATGCGGTCAGTTATTCAAATGATGGATTACTAATCACCGCTGCTTGTACCGATGGATCGATCCAGGCCTGGGATCATCGTCGTAAAGTATATGTAAACAACAGCTTTTTAATTAGAAACGCTCATCAACCTGGCACCGAAACGTCATCTTTATCATTCTCTTATGATGGTAAATATTTTGCCACTCGAGGTATGGATGAGACACTCAAATTATGGGATATTCGTAATTACAAAACTTGCGTCCACTCGGTAAATGACCTGTTCAACCTATTTCCAAACACCGATTGCTCCTTCAGTCCAGATGATAGATTAGTATTTACTGGAGTCTCATTGAAAAAAGGTGAAGACATTGGTTACCTTAAATTTTACAACCGAGATACATTTACCCTGGAAGGAGAAATGAAAGTAGCACCAGCAAGTGTTGTCCGATCACTTTGGCATCCAAAACTAAATCAATTAATTGTAAGCACCAGTAGTGGAATTGTCAAAACCTATTATGATGCCGCTCTAAGTGAACGAGGGGCCAAACTGTGTGCCGTTAAAACCAAGAAACGGTACAAAGATTCATTCGAGATCACAGCTCAACAGATAATAGCTCGTAAGTCCAATCAATTGTTTATATTAATTACCCTCCGAACCTAATCAATGTCTAAGCCCAGTTAAAGATGAAAACAACAACAACAACCATAAGTTATCATCTGTTGATATTTTAATTTCAGTTAATTGTTAAGATAAGTTGATCTTTGACAACAAATACTTGTGATTGAAAAAAAAAGTTGTTGATTAATTGGATAATCATCTGAGTTGACATTTAACTTATTTACTATTAATAATTTTCTATTGTTTTTTTTTCTAGCCCATTCTCTTCCCATGTACAAACAAGACAAGAAGAAAAGTTGGAAAGTCGAAATGATGAAAGCACGTAAAGATCCCGTTAAATCTAAACGACCTGATTTACCAATGACCGGACCAGGTCAAGGAGGTCGACTCGCTTCGGTTGGAGGTACATACGCTTCCTTTATGGCCCAAAAATTTGCAGCTCGAACTCGTAAGATAGACGATAAAGAAGATCCTCGAGAAGCTTTACTTAAATTCGCTAAGAAAGCGGAAGAAGACCCATACTGGGTCGCACCCGCTTACCAATCGACTCAACCTAAAGCGATCTACCGGAAACCAGATGAAGAGGAAAATGATGATAATTATGAACCACCCGAGAAAAAATAATAACCATCTTCAGGTATTCTAAAGGTTAATTCATTTAAATTAACAATTTGTACAGTTTAATTTTCGTCTGGGAAATTTATTTATATTTATATGAATAACTAATTAACAAATTTAATTGAATCATTTCAATTGAAGTGAATAAATATAATTAAACTCAATTGAGAGAGTGACAATAATCTGACCTTATTCAATTTGTTGTTTCATATCATTTTCTAGGTTAAGGATTGTGTTACCATTGTGATAAACAAATTGTCTACTTTCTCATCTTATAATCAACGTTAATCAACAACAATTAACCTTCACGATTTGGTTTTAAAGATAATCAATCATCGATACGATGATTGTAACAAAATTAAAAGGTACCTAATCAATTACTACATTGACACTTTTAAAAGATGATGACCCAATTGATTTACTTTCATTCCCAATCACATGGTTATAACAATTTACCTTCACTTTTTTTTGATCATTTCACTAATTAGATCAATCGGCAATTAATCCGATTTTTTAACTAATACAACAAGTATCCATTAATTGACAATTTATAATTACTCTCAATATTTAGTTCCTGAATCAATGCTGGTTTAATAACTGATCATATGCTGGTAATCATTTCAAAATCAAATCCTTTTACAGTTAACCAACAATTTAACAAAATTAAGTTGATGATCAAATAAATCAACTAAATTTAGTGAAAAAAATGGATCAAATTATTTCACAGGAATATTATTAATCCAAATCAAATTAATCAATAATCAACTTCTATTAACTATCATCTCGTATTGAAAATTGAGTCTAAATTAATCTCGATTCATAATTAATTTAGTAATGAAAATGTAAATAATAATAACAATTAATCAACTGATGATTATTTATATGTATTGTCTTCACAATTAACAAATGGAGATGATCAATATTGATTAGTATTGATTTAATTGAACTTGATTAAAAACAACCTGAAAGGATTAATATTATTGATTGTTATCTGATTGATAATTAAACTCTTACCTTCATTTATAGCTGTGTCAATGTCTATGTTAATTTACTAATGACTCTCTAATTGCATTAATTAACAGCCATTTTAACCAATTAAATTGTCGCAATAATTGATTACTGAGCTGTTAAGGTTTTATTAATCAACTGAATCTCATGGTGTTGACTGAAACTAATCATGTATCAGAAACAAATTAGCTCTAAATTGCTGATTATTCATTAAAAGCATTATAATCATCTAAATAATATCAATAATAAGAAATAAATTGTTATGATTAACTAATGAAAAGCTTTAATGATAAAAATGATATGAAACATTGTTCTTACAATGAACAATTAACTGATTACTTTTTTGATTCATTTCTTTTATTTTCTCACCAGTTAATTCCTCTCGTATTAACAATTATTATAATTGTGGAAACAATTGAAATGATCAATTTTCGATTCGTTTACAATAAACCGATGAAAACACAAACGATTACGGAAATCAATCAACTTCAGAATCAAGACAATCATCAAATCTTCATCACAAGTCTATTCTTATACAAGGAGAGAGGCTAAAAGAAAGAGATGAAATGATGATAAAAAGAAGATAAATTATGAAAGAAAGATAAAAGAAAGAGGAAAACATTCTGGACGAAATAATCAAGTTCGCATTTTATGTTTATCGACTTACTAATCACTGTTTCTTGGTATCTTCTTATTAATACCATGATGAAGATCGAGGCCACTTAACTAATTGCTCCTTCCAATTGGCTTAGAGCATAAGAAACTCTCGAAAGATATTGTAAGTATTTCGATTCCCACCTAGTAAATAGCCCTCCAAATGATAACATCATCTTCCTATCCCCCTTTTCATCCTCATCTTCACTATCATCGTCTCTCTCTCTCTCTCTCTCTCTCTCTCTCTCTGATCTCTTTTGATTTCGAATCGACTCTTATGGAAGTCACAATAATTTTTATCGTTCGCAGTTCTGAATAACTAGATGTTAATCGACATAATTTGTATCGAATCTCTGTCTCTCTTTCAAGTTTTTTTTCTTCCATATTAACAATCACAATCCTTCAAGGTCGTTAACTGTCATCATCATCATCTTCTTCTTCATCATTATCATCATCATTATATACTCTTACCATTTAACAGGTAGTACAATAAACAATTCACCGTCGTCTTAATTACCATCATTTAATGTATAAGGTTCAATTCTAGTAGTTGAATCAAAAGTAACAATACCATTGTAACAACGATAATCATCATAATAATTAACTAATTGTGCCAACAAAAATCATCATCATCCCTTATCATCATCATCATCGTCATCATCACATTGTAACATTGTCGTTGGTTGTGTAAACCAAATAACGACAAAATCGAGAGACAACAATATTAATATTAATCAACGATTGAAACTTTTTCTGTTCCATTTATAATTTTTATCCATCATCATTCATAATCCTAATCCTGATCATCATCATCACCGATTGTGTTTTTTTTGTTACTTTTCTCATCTCATTGACCCTAATACAAAGTTCAAAAAATTGTACTTTCATTACAATACAATTAATTTGTCTTGTTCCCAATTGTTTAACTTTGTTTTTCCAATTACAGTTTATTAATTGTCGGTTTAATCATCATTAGAAATAACCAACTATGGATGATCTGTCAAACAATCGGATTAAATTTTTTCGCACAGCGTTGGTCTACCTGTCATTCCTTGGCATCGGCTCAGGGATGACAGTTTTGGGCTCATCAATTCTGGACTTGGAGATACAAGTCCAAGAACCATACGAAGCCGTGGCTCGAGTTATCCCGATTCGAGCTGCAGGTCTAGTGGTTGGATATTTTTTCGGTAAGTTAATGAGAAACTTTTGTTAATCTGCTCAATTCAATTCACAATTAGATTCAATTTAATTTGGTTCATTTTCTCTGTTTATTTAGCTGGTCTGATCGGTGAACGGATGAATCCTCAGGTATTGATGTTTCTAACCAATATATTTGCTGGAATAACCTTTATATCAGCTCCATGGAATCATCATCTAACCGGATTAATGATTGATTTCTTTCTCAGTGGTGTCTTTCTAGCAGCTAATAAAGTTTGTAAGTTACAATTAAATTGATCAAAAATCGGCAATTTAACTACAATTACAGTTCAAACATAAAACAAACAATTGAATGTTTACCTGTTTGTATGATATTCATTATGATTGATTATCGTTTCTTGATCAAACATCAACAATTTCATCAATTTAAATTGTCTACACTTTGTCACTTTCTAATTCACAGTATTAATTAATCTTTTTTTTCCCTCCTTCTCTCAATATACAGGTTGTAATCAGTTTATCTTTTCAATTTGGGGCGATAAGAGTCCCCTGTACATTCAATTTCTTTACATGTGCTACGATCTTGGGTCATTTTTAGCTCCATTTTGGACGAAACCGTTTATACTACGAAGTAAAAGTGAACTCCTCGGCGGAACCAATTCAACTCAGTCCCTTTACAAACCTTCCGATGTTCGTATTCAATATCCTATCATGATGGTCGGCGCTGTTTTCAGTCTCTCGGCACTGGGATTCCTGATACTTCATTACACTGAACCTTATGTTAAACCCTTGCCCAAGAAAACCGTTAAAAAAGCTCCATCTCATGTTGAACAATTTGATGGTAAACGTTGGCTCAAATGGTTAATCATAATCATGATGTGTTTCTTTACCCATTCAGCTCAAAGTGTTACTGATTTAATTGGTAAGTTGATTAACTAAATAGTTCTCCTTCTAATTCCAATTGCAAATTAGTATCAATGAGTTTTTCATTTTCCTCTCAATTCGTTAACTAATATATTTGTGTGATCAGTCAATTGATAGATTTCGTGATTGATTGATTGTCAATTTCTAATCGTAAATCATTTTAAACATTGTTTTTACTATGAAATTTTCAAGGTTAATCAGTTACTACTACATTTGATTACCTTACTATTATAAATTTTATCTTCCAACAATTAAATTTACGTTAATTGAAAAAAAAGAGTTAATTACCTGTAACATTTTCCCATCATCCTAATCCTTTTAGTGACAATTTCATTGTGATAAATTATCTTAATCATTAATAATAATAAAAGTCTATTATTATTATTGACTAATTGTAATTGCTAAATTAACCTGATCAAATTACACTAGAACTTGACTTGTCCCTTAATAGTTACTACTAATTTTTCTAGAGCGAGTTAATTTATTATTAATTGTCATAATCGAAACAACAATTATCCTAATAGTAATTTAACCAAATTAGATTATTAAATTGTTGATAAATTATTAGACTTATATACTTGTGATTATTTCAAGTGATAGTGTTTAATTGTTGAAGGGTAATTCCAGTTATAATTAAGGTAACAATCAACTTGCAATTTGATTATAATAAAAAAAAACTATTTAACAATCAAATTGATTAATACTTTCTCAATACTCTTGATTGCTATTTATATTTCAAGATGCTACTTCCAAGATGATTAGTTGATTATAATTAAGTTTAAGTGATTACATTTAGATTACAAATTACTTACAGTTAAATTGTTTGAATTACAAACTCATTGATGTTGTTTAATTTTTAACAATCAAGTGAAAATTTCATTGACAATTAACTTACCGTAAAAATAATCTCATTAACTATTTCATTCAACTTTAATTAACTCTTTTAACTATTAATTTTATGGAGATTAATTTCTTTACAGTTAATCTAATTGCTGTAAATTGTAATGGATAAAAATTTTCGACAATTAATCAAAAATCTCGTCGAAATCAGATCAGTTTCTTAAAGAAATGACAAAACGATATTATCGTTATGTTATAATTGATTAGGACTTTTATGATTTAATCATCTAGTTGATTAACTTTTAATTGACAATAACTTTGCTATTCTATAAAATTAAATGTTAATTGTAATTATAATTAATAATTAAACCTTCAAGTTACATCAATCTCTTTCCATAGCCTTGAATATCATCCTAATTAGTTGTGTCTCAGGAATTAAACTAACTTTATATTTCCCCTGATTTAATTGTCAAGTTCAAATTTGATTCTAATGCTTAATAATAATAAATATTACCGAATGTTGTTAATTGTCACAGTAATTTAGTCTAATTGTATTCTAATGAAACTTTGATTTTTTTCTCTGTATTTTCTCAGGTGAAATGGGTCCATCGTTTGCGGTCAAATCACCGCTTAAATTGCCGAACGAAAGTGGCCCGACTTTGGTATCAATCTTCTGGGGCTTTTTCACCGCATATCGAGCAATTTTCATAGTCCTTTTAATGTACACATCGGCGGACAAGGCCAAAATTATCAACGTTCTCCTTTTATTGGTCTCTATTGTCGTTCTTGTACCTCATGCTAACACCGATAAGTCCAGTCTCTATGCTGGAATCATCTTGTTGGGTCTTGGAATGTGTCCCATTTTCGCGGCCACTTATGGTTCGCTCACCCGCTATTTCTCAGTCACTTCACGAATGACCGCCGCCTTTTTCATATCTACTTGTGTTGGTCATCTCATCTATCCCTGGGTGGTCAGTAAATATATCTCAACTTATCCAATCATTTTCCTTTACTGTATTGCCGGTCTCGTAGTTTCGACCAGTATACTGACCACAATCATACCTTTTATCGGACAAAAGTACCTACAATATGCAACCGAACAACGGGAAAATGAAGAGGCCAAAGCGCAGCAAACTATGGCCACAATTGAAACGATTCGAGTCAAATGAATCTAAATTCATGGTGACAATTAACTTGATCGTTGAAACCAAATCATCAAAAAAATTTATCCTTTTCTTTACAAAAATTGTATATGATGATTCTGCCTCTTAATTGTAAAAAAAGTACCAAATTAACTTTTCTAATTGATCTAATTTTGTTTGTAAATTTATCCAACAATCAACTGTTAACAAAACAAATCATTCAGAAGACAATTAAATACTAGTGCTTATGTAAAGTCTAATTGTCAATCATAATCAACTCTTGATGTTCAAACCAATTGCTAACAAACTTAAACATTTTCATCTTGACACTAATTAGTTTTAATTACAATTAACGATCATAGTGATGCCCTCCTTTGTGAGAAGATGCAATTAACTCAAGAAGTTGCGGTTTCTAATCAACAAGAATCTTGATTTCTATTTACGTAGTTAATTTGATCAGTTTTTCTGTCAACAATTAAGTAAATCATGTAACAATTTAATCACTGTGGTCTTTTGTTTAATTGTCACAATTATTTCAATCTTTTAATTTTCTTAAATTTTTTGGTAAAATTTACTGTTGATTTAAATGTTTCTGTGCTTGAGATGAAATCAATCAAAAGGTAACAATTAGCCAAAATTAACATCTCATTGTAAAAATTATTGATTAAACTAATTGTTGTTTAAATTATTTACACAATATGATTACTTTTACACCTAAATGATAACTTAATCTAGTGTAACAATTTAAATACATTTGGAACAGTCAATCCGATAATTTAACCAACAACAATTAAGAAAATGAACTGAACAATTAATCATGTGACCATTTCTCGTCATTTAATTACCTATCTGATTAATTGTTTTTTAATAATCAGTTAATTTACTATCTTAGTTATCTACAATTAATGTTAACTAATAATTATATTCTGACTAACTGTTGATTAATAGGATTCATATTGTATTACAAAGTTGATGGTAATAATTAAAATATTGATTGGTTATCGTCTTAATTATTGTTAAGGATTTCCTTTGATACCCATGAGATTAACTGATTGTTCAGTTAATTATGAAAGTGATTAAAAATGTGTTGTGATTGTTAAAACAATTATAGAGTTTGAATCCAATTGATGATTTATGATTGTTGAGAAAACAAAACTAACAGAAACTTAATCGATCACAATTAATGCTCATAAACAAATTGTGATTAACTTATTACATTGATCATTGAAATATCAACTCTGTGTAATTAAACTTTGATCTATTGATGATTAGATAAGATTTACTATAACAACACAATAATAATAAAGTAAATACTAATCATCGAGTTAATTGTAATGAGTAATCAATTAAAAACCCAATATGTGTGACAAAAATTCAATAAACTATTATTATTTTCTGATCATTGGTCAAGTTTTTTTCAATTCTGTCATCTGTAACAATAATTAATCATCATTAGATTAGACTGTTCAATCAAATCACAATTTTTACGTGAATTTGATTGACTTAATCATTGGGAATCACAATTAAAGTAGAGGGAGAGTTAGAGTGAGAGAGATGTGGGAAAAAGTGAGCTATGGTCTGGGAAGTAATCAGTTGCCAGAGTTTCGTTGATTAACTAAGTTAAATTATTATTTAAGTTCCTTGTTGTCTTCATTTTAAATCACTACAGTTAACTAATTAACTCCAATCACTAATTAATAACCAAAGTAATCAACAAGAAATAAAAATGGGTGGTTTAATAATTACCTTGATTATTCTCGGTGTTTTAGTGATCTTCGGTGCTTGTGTTTGGTGTATCGTTCGCTGTTTATATGATGTGGCCTGTTGTACGTGTAACTGTATAACTTGTGGCCAGTGCGGAGATTAAGCTGATCCGTTAATCCGGTTGATCGTCAATGGATTAAAAAAAGACGAAGATTGTGTTAACACTTTCAGTGAAAATAATATCCGATCATCATATTTACACCTTAATTATTTGATAATTTTACAATTAATCTTAATTTCTATTGTGCTTCTCAACTGGATTAAACTTCGAAATAAAAAGTTAATCACTAAAATAATTAAATCCAGTGAGAATAAGCTTCAAAACGCCCAATAAAATGTATCAATTTGTAGCAATCTTAAACAGTTCTAATCTAATTCATCTATTGATTTTCCCTTCAAAATGTAACAATTAGTATTACTAATAAATCCTTATGTGATTAATCAATTAAATTGTTTATTTTTTATTTCCAATTTATCTACAATACCTTTAACAATTAATACTGAACACACTATTAAAGTCCTTCAATACTTGACACTTAATTTTTATCTGGTTCGCAATTTTATCACCACAACTATTGATTAAATAGATGATTAATTTACTAATCAAATACAATTAACGTCGATTCAGTATCATAATAACAATATGGATCAATAAATTGTCTTAATTATAGTCGGTGTAATATTATTCCTTGGACTGATTTGTTGTATCGCTCGATTTGTATTCGATGTCACTTTGTGTACCTGTAATTGTATCACTTGTGGACAATTTAGATAAGTTGATCAATCGATAGTTAATTAAGTTCTATTTTTTCCTTCAAGTGTTTAATATTTCGTGAGGATGAAATTCACAATTAATACAAAGAAAATTGATTAATATTAATTGTAGATAAATTTCAAGATAATTTGTCTAGATTAATAATATCATTTACTTTTATTGGGATGAATATTGTTGAAAGAAACTCATCTTGATACTTACTTGAACAGGAAACAATAATTTACATTAACGATGATTTTTAATAATTAAATCGGTTAATTTAGATGATGAATGTTAATCTCAAGATGAGAAATTGGAATTGATGAAAATCGTAGCAATTTATCAATAGCATTCAATTGATATTTACAGTGAACTGTGATAGTTGATGATTAGTTGAATTCGACATGTTCACAATTTTCAAGTGAATTCACAAGAAAAGTGAGTAATATTCATGATTAAATTGAAAGGGAACAATCAGTTAATCAGTTAGAAATTAATTATGTTTAATCCTTTTATGGTCTCTGTCAATTCGAGGTGTGGGAGCATTATAACTATTACTTGTTCCTTCACCATGATCGGGTTTTCGTTTAAAGAGAAGGGCATTTATCTTTTGTAAATCACGATCAATTTTCGCTTTATCATCTTTCTTTGTTGGTATACGTCGGGTTTTCCGACCATCGGCCATTTTAACTCCATACTGAAAGGCGGCTTTGGGTAGAGCCTCTTTTTTACTCATGTATTCCCCATACTCTTCCTGTGTATCAAAATCCCAACGGCCAACGGTCGCCTTTTTACTGCCCACATCCATCTTGGTAAAATCGACTTCATCATCACTATCCAAAATGGCGTCGTCATTTTCAGGGGCACCAGGATAACATTCAGCATAACTTTCAACCGCCTCTTGTTCAATCTTGGAATTGAATCTACTGATTGCCCTTGATTCGAGTACCGATGTTGCTGCAACCATAGCAGCCGATAAACTCGATTTAATTTCAGCTGATTCCATTTCTTTCGTCATCTCAGGAGAATCAGGCTTGTTAAAGTAAGAACTTCTATTATCTACTCGATTTTCCCGATGAACTTTATCTTCTTTTCGTTTAGATGAAGATGAAGACGATGATTCATGATGATGAGAATCTTTCTTTTCAAATGAGGGAACATAATCGCCGATATCACCGTAAATAGAATCATCAAAATTTGGCTTCTTTTTCTCTGCTCTTGATTTTGTTCCATAGTCTAAATTGTCCGTTGAACTTTTATCTTTCTTCTTCCTCTTTGGTACACCGCCTTGTCTCAAGTAGGAGATGATTTGAATAAGCTTATTAATGACAATATTATTGGTGCTCAATTGTGAAAGATTATCGGTATTGGGAAAATCAGCTTTACTACGAATAATTGTAGTTGGTATATCATCGACAAATGGATCTTCAAGATCTAATGTATAAGCCATTCGACCGGGAAGAAAGAGATCATTTCGAAGGGGTAACTTTTCCTTGGTAAGTAAGGTGATTATATTTGCGGCCATTGCTGATCTGGGTGTCCAATCGTCTTCTCTAGATTCAGATTCTGAGATTCTTTTGTCTTTAATATTGTCATTGTCAAAGTCTTTGTCTTCCAATTCTTCTTCCTCGTCTTCATCTTCATCCTCTAATTCAGCTTTCACTTTATGAAGTAAAGCATAATCAAGACCTTTCACTAAATGAGTATGTTTCATGTCACCACCCAAGAATTTAGATTCCTCAATCAGCTGTTTCCTTCGTTCGGCTGCATCGATTGCTTTTGTATCAGGAGCTACTGCTCGATAAGCGGGCATTGAGGCCAATGGATCTTCGTTTTGATAATCGGGATTAGCACCATCTCGTCTTTCCCTTGCTCTATCTCGATACTTTTTCGCCAGCTCAGCTAGAACATCATCTTCTTGTTTCTTTAAAGCGGCATAAAATTTTTTCTTCTTCTTTCGATTCTCATTATCAGGAACCAGGGTCATTTTACGTCCGCTTCTCACCGAACCATGAACATCACCTCGAACTGAGCCCAATCCAACTCTGGGGGTCATTAAAAGTTTCCTAAAATCTTCATTGGTCAAAGGATGAGCATCTTTACTTTCTGCTTGACTAGAACTCGTATCCAAATGAGATGGAGCAATAGGATTACTAATCGCTTCCAATTCCATGGCAAACTAATTAAAAGAAAAGAACAAACACAGATTAACCTCTAGAATAATCAAATCAACAGAAGCAAATAAATAAAAACACCAAAATAAATTCAAACAATTAGAGTAAATTATCACTAACCAACAATAAGATTTTTACACAATTGTCAATGTAAGATTTAGAAAATGTTAAAATCCGAAAAAAGATCAATTGATCCAATCAATTTCGATATAACTGATGAGACACCAATACAATAGCTTAACAATCAATTCGATGACAATTATTTAGAGGAAAGAAACAATTAATTAATCCTTAATTAGTCTTAAGAGTAAAACGAGAAAATCAAAATAAACTGTTGACCGAAAAAATTTGTGTTGGTCACGTGATGGAAAACACATGTTGATGTTTTCATTTAGTTCGCTTTTCAAATTGGTGAATGTTAATTTCTAATTCTCTTGAATTAATTTCTCTTATTTAGTTAATTGTTGTTTTATTTTCTCCATCATAATGACTGATCAGATAGTTTTCCCTGGCTTCTCAATTAAATCATTAATCGATGAAAATGAAGAGGCAACAGATAAAAGATTGTCCTTGGTCCTGGAATCAAACGAGAAATTGATGATTTAAGGGCAATTAAATGTGGCCTTTTACGAAGTCGAATTAGTAACAATTTAATCATCTACTGGATTGATTCTCATCAGAAAAGAGTAAGTATCAATTATATAAATAAACAATTGATGACAACAAACTTGATTCGATGATAGAATCAAATTCGTGTCTTAAGTGATAAATGATCATCAAATTTTTGTTCTATTCTAATCAATTTTTTCTTGTTTAATTCTCTTCATATTAATAGTATGTTGCAGTTCGTGGTGAAAGGGTTATCGGAATTGTTACTAGTAAAGGTGGTATGTCCGTGAACGTCGATATTGGTACCAGTGAATCTGCTTCATTGTCTTTATTAGCTTTTGAAAGCGCAACCAAAAAAAATCGTCCAAATATTCAGGTAAGTTTGTTGATGATAGGAAAATGTTTCCACTTTAGTGATAAAATTTCCAATTTCTGTCCAAATAAAATTGTTAGATTGGTGATCTTGTCTATGCACGGATACTTTCGGCCAGTAAGGACATTAGAACGGAACTTATTTGTGTCACAAGTCGAATGAAGAAAGACGGTCTTGGTGTTCTTCCTCAAGACGGATTCATGATCAATGTTCCACTAAGAGTTTGCCGAAGGTAGAATTTACTTCTTATCTGTTGCAACTTTTGAGCATAAATGTTGTTTAATTTTTTGCTAATTTTCTCCTTTTTCTCTAATTGTTTAGAATTTTATCTGCCGATTGTAAGTTAATCGAAACATTAGGAGCTAAATTCAAATATGAAATAACAGTTGGTCTTAATGGACGAATATGGGTTCGATCACCAACTCTCTCGGAAACAATTTACATCATAAACATACTACTTAAAGTGGAAAATTCTGATGATCAAGGAATGATTGATTTATACAAACAGATAGAAGATAAATTTCAAGTTTATCGGAAGAAATAATTTCCAAATTCAAGTGATACATATAAGTGATTAAAAAGTTATTCCATTGAATAAGTTACATGTAAATTTCACTTTCCACTGGTCAGCTAAATACTTGAAGCTCAAATCAAAAACATGATTATGATTTGAAAGAAAACTAATCAACTTGGTGACTACAAATTCAATGATTAACTTTTATCTATTTTCTCTGAGCTGATGTGTAAACCCTCATACAATTGAAAAGGAAACTGAACAGATGGAAGATTTAATTAGAATGATGATGATGATGATATAAGAGAAAGAGAGAGATATTAATTGTCAAGCTGTGTAAATGTAATTCTATCGATCGATAAAATGTTTCCAACGGAAACAGAGTGAAGCCTCTGATATCTCACTCTTTCCATGTCTCTCTCTCTCTCTCTCTCTCTCTTCCTTTTCTCCTTCATGTTAATTTCAGTTCTAATTCACTGTTATCCCCATAGAAACTTGAAAGTCGCTGATATTTGGAACCCGAATTTTCTCTCCCTCCCTGTTTCTCTTCCAGTGATTCTGTACCATCTCTCCTCTCCCCCTACTCTCTCACTCGAATCTTCTCACTTTAATGTCTAACCAGACATATCGATGATTCTCTGATTGAATCGGTGTGAACATTATTTACTTCTCCCTCTCTCTTTCTCTCTTTCTCTCTCTCTCTCTCATCTTTTTCTCTCATTTTATTGTTCAATGTGTAGTATTTTCTTACCTGACTGTTACCTGGCATATGGTTACATTTATTGACGAGTATAAGTTTTAATTGAGTGCCAATCAAATGGGTAATAGTGATTCTAAGTTAAATTTTCGTAAGGCTGTTGTTCAATTGAGCAGTAAAACTCACCCAATCGATGCTAAAGAGGACTCATTTTGGGATCAATTTTGGTGCGAATCGATCAATAATATTCAAGATGTTTTCACTCTAATACCCTCACCCGAAATTCGTGCACTAAGGGAGGAATCGCCTTCCAATTTGGCGACTCTTGTTTACAAGGGTGTTGAGAAATTAGTGGCCTCAACCGATACTCTTTGTAATACAACCAATCAACAAATTTTGGTTCTTAATAGTAATCGTTTATTGACCAGAATTTTACCTTACATTTTTGAAGATCCCGAATGGAAGGGCTTCTTCTGGTCATCTTTACCTCGAAGTTCACCCCAATCACCAACTTCCCTTGAATTACATTCCAATGAATCAAATCATGGTGGTCGACATGGAAAAGGTAGAAAAGGTCGAAGGTTAGGAAGAGGAAATGGTGAGAATGATGAAGACACTGAATTAGATGAAGAAGACGATGATGATATCGATGGTGATGATTATCGAGGTAGAGATGAAAATTTACCTTTAGCACAATCATTGATTCTCGCAATTTGTGATCTACTTTTCTGTCCCGATTTTACGGTTACCCCTTTACCCTCATCACGAAACAAATCTTCCGGACCTTTCGGTTCACCTGATTGCCCACCCGAGGATTTACAATCAATTGATTCTTGTGAATATATTTGGGAATCAGGGGTTGGCTTCACTTCGCCCACTTCATCGTCTACTACTTATGATAAACATCGAACTGAACTTCTCCGCCTTATCCTTACCTGTTTCTCCACCACCATGTACAAAACACCAAACGAAGCTCGATCAACACCCAATCGTTGGATAACCTTTTTCACTTCTCCAGATAATCGTCACGCTTTACCTTTATTCACTTCCTTGATTAACACCGTTTTCTCATATGATCCAGCAAGTAAGAATCAACTTATCAACTAAATAGATTCTTGTAAATCAATCTAATCTACTTTTCTCTTCATTAGGTTACCTTCCATTTAATCATTTACTATTTAGCGATTCTCGAGAGGCTTTGGTTGAAGTTTGTCTGCAGATATTAATTGTTACCCTTGATCACGATTTCATCACTGAATCTTTGCCTGGTGGACGAGGAGATGGAGCCGAACGAACTTTAATCGATCCAACAATCCATGAGAATTTATTCATTAATTATCTTTCTCGAATCCATAGAGAGGAAGATTTCGCATTCATATTGAAAGGATTTACTCGATTGTTGAATAATCCACTTCAACAAACTTATATTCCAAATTCAACTAAAAGAATTCAATTCCACCAAGAATTGTTGGTTCTTTTTTGGAAAATTTGTGATTATAATAAGAAATTCATGTTCTATGTTCTTAAATCTTCTCATGTTCTTGACATTCTAGTGCCAATACTTTACCATCTAAACGATAGTAGGTCAGATCAATCGAGAATTGGACTTATTCACATTGGTGTTTTCATTCTTCTTCTACTCAGTGGTGAAAGGAACTTTGGTGTTCGTTTGAATAAACCATATTCGGCTTCCATTCCAATGGATCTTCCAATTTTCACCGGAACTCATGCTGATCTGTTGATTATTGTTTTCCACAAATTGATTACCGCAGGTCACCAAAGGCTTCAACCTCTATTTGAATGTTTATTAACGATAATTGTAAACGTTAGTCCGTATCTTAAAACACTCTCAATGGTTTCTGCCAATAAGTTACTTCATCTATTGGAAGCATTTTCAACCCCATGGTTTTTATATTCCAATCCAATTAATCATCATTTGGTTTTCTTCCTATTGGAAGTATTTAACAATATAATCCAATATCAATTTGATGGTAATTCTAATCTGGTTTATACGATAATCCGAAAAAGAAATATTTTCTCCAATCTATCTAATCTGGCCACTGATTATGGTACAATACAAAAATCACTGAATCGTTCAAGCTCATCAACATCATCTACTACACGGCGACCACGAAAGTTAACCTTGTCATCTACACAATCAACAGCTTCTACCTCATCAATACCTCCTACTACATGTCAATCACCATCAGCTAATTGTAAATCAGCGCCCACAAGCCCGCTATCTCTTAACTCTTGCACCTCACCCACTGTAACCTCAACTCAACCACAACAGCAACAAAATCAACACCAATCTCAAGTAAAATCTGATAAATGTTTAAAACAATCAACTACACCACCACAAGAACCACAACCACAACAACAACAATCATCAACACCATTTACACCTTCTAATAGTTCAGAAGTTGCTTCACCATCATCAACCACCACTGGCATCGGTAGCTCACCAGTAAGGGTACCACAAGAATCGTTAGTTGATCTTACCGATGAATCTTCAATGGTAACATCAACAGCGATTAATCAAGAGTCGACAATTAAAGTTTCCCTTGCAGCTACACCAAAGATTCACAATATGACAGAAACAACTCATCCCAATCCAACGGGTGATCCAGATGAAGCCACCGAAAGTTCAATGAGACGAGAGAAATCATTAAGTCGACAATCAAGTTCATCTTCTAATCATGGACCTTGGCTACCAACCTCAGAATGGGTTTTATCATGGAAACAAAAGTTACCCCTACAAACGGTCATGCGAATGCTTCAAGTTCTAGTACCACAAGTTGAAAAGATGTGCATCGATAAAGGGATTACCGATGAAAATGAGATTCTAAAGTTTCTTCAACACGGAACTTTGGTCGGATTATTACCCGTTCCCCATCCGATTTTAATCCGAAAATATCAAACCAATTCCGGGACAACCCTTTGGTTTCGCACTTACATGTGGGGGGTAATTTACCTGAGAAACATTGACCCGCCAATTTGGTACGATACTAATGTTAAACTGTTCGAGATTCAGAAACTTTGATCATCCAAAACACTTATGGTTAATTATTCATCACAAAAATGATCATGATCAGTATCTTCACTTATCTAATATAAGATAATTCTAACAATTAGAAGGAAACAACAAAAGTAATTACAATTAAATGACGTCAAACAATTAATGGAATGCCCAAGAATAGGACATTGTAATTACATTACAATTACCGACACCGAAATTAATTTTAATTACAATGATCAAAAAACAAGATTCTGGTGATAAACTAACCAAAAAAAAAATAACCTCCATTGTAATTATATTATTAATTTAATGTATTTCCTTATGAGACAATCGTTGAGTTGGCAATTTACCAACAGCAACAATTTAATTTAATTTCATCACTTAATTTAATCTCACAATTAAGAAAAATTCAAATCTCAATGAAACTTTGATCATCTCAATCATTCAGATAATCATAATGATTGATTATTAATCATTGGTATTAAGATAAACATAGTATATGATTTAATCAATTGAATTTTGTCTTAATTGTAGTTGATTTATTTTGATTTATTTTTGGTTTTCATTGAATTACAATCTAATTGTTGTGTTAATTTTCATCATAGTTGATCCCCTGTCATTTTAAACAATTTAATTATTTCATTTTGATAACCAAAGTAATCAAATTATTACCAGTAAACAATTAATCAGGTTGATGATTGTGATTAACTATCATTTTATTACCACAGTTTGATAACTTTCAAGAGTTGTTGATATAATAAGTTGATTATGGTTGAAGATGATTAATTTAATTGCTATTAAAAGAAATAAAAAGCAAAATTATATTAAACAATTTACTTTCATTCGAGTTGTTTATTAGTTAATTGTGAACAATTTAGTTACACTTGATCATCATCATCATTAAAATAATTTCTTTGTTGTTTTCCTAACAATCATTAAATTTAGTTCATTGTAATAATATTCAAGTCAAATTAAGAACAACAATTAAGTTAATCATTAATCAAAATCTAAACACAAAGTTACTTAATGAGCTAATAAATTGAAAAGTAACTGAATTAACATTTACATTGATCATCAGCAACACAATTAACAAGATTTAATCGTTATACTGATTATCTGTTGAAATTTATACAATTAATTACTCTCTCTCTCTCTCTTTAATCCTGTGATACTTTCATTACAACCATCAACAATTAAGTTACAATCAATCTCGTGTAGTCTCATCATCATTATCACGATGAAACTTTTTTACCAATGAAAAATTGTAATTATGATTAATTGATTGATAAAATTACCTTTTTTTTTGCCAAAAAGTTGTGAATCAGTTTAAAGTTAATTGTAATGGATAGACGAGGAGTGGCCCAAGTGTCAATTGATGTTATATCAGTGGGGATTTTAGTTGTTCTTGACCAAGCACTTGATTATTTGGAACCAGTTAAACGAGGATTCTGGTGTTCAGATGAGACAATTAAATATCCTCGACAATCAGAGACAGTTCCGTATAAAGAACTGGTCGAAATCGCCATGGTAGCACCGGTCGTTTTCCTAATTATATCGGAAATAATTTACTTTCAAGTGTCCAAGCGAAATAAACTCTTCTTGACCAGTCAAGAATTCTGGTACAATTTAATTACTGTCCTGTCTACTTGGGCTTGTACCTTTTGGATTAATTCAGTAATCACAAAGTTCATTAAGGTTCGAGTCGGTCGATTACGACCCGTTTTCCTTGATTATTGTAACCCGACGATTGATTGTGACGATGCGGCCTGGAAAGATCAGTATGTCACCAATTTTACTTGTCGTGTTGGTCATTCCGTTGAAAATTTTGTTCGAACCTCTTTCCCTTCTGGTCATTCATCTGAATCAATGGTGTCCATGGTTTTCTTGATCATCTATTTATGGAAACGTTACCGTCACAATTCAACTCGATATTTTGTCGCTTTGGTTCAAATTGTCGTTCTTTTTGTCGGACTGTTCGTTGCTCTATCTCGAATCTATGATAATATTCACCATTGGTCTGATGTTCTTGCGGGAATCGCCATTGGTACCATTGTGGCCTTGGTTGTCTCTCTGGCACCCAAGCGACTTGACAGATTACAAGATGATTCGGATGAGGTTAAAATCGCGGCCACTTCTCAGGCCACATTTAGATCGTCAATTGCCTGAAAGGAAAAGTTCAAAACAATCAAACTAAATTGTGATACAATTGTTTATACCTAAATTTAAACCATTAAAAGTGATCAGGAAAATGTAAGGTCTACAATTTGTGAAGCAAAATAATTTAATTGCTGTCATATTTGTAACTGTAGCTTCACAATTAAATTAAGTATTGTTGTTGATGATTATAAATCCATTCGTAGTTAAATCACAATCAATGAATTAACCAAACAATTTTCACTCTTCTTATTTCCGATTGATTGATAAATTAGCATTTACACTCACAATCAAAACTAAACTGTTAATTGTTTTGTACGTTTAACAAGTTAATTAAATTGCTATTTATTGCATCACCCTTCAAAGTTGATCAGTAATTAAAAAAAAAGAGTTAAATTCAGTCAATCGGTTAATTGTTCAACAAATAAAAAACAAACTATTAAAAGTAATCAAAGTTAATCTTGTCAACTTTATCATGTTGTAAATTGATTATATGATAACATTAATTATCCTTGATTGTGATAATTATAAACTATTAATTGCTTATTGATTTTATCCTTTAAACAGTAAATGTATTTGTTGATCAATTGATTTCTCATCTCACAATATAATCAACTAATCATCATCTCTTTCTTGATTGCGATTATCTCATCAGTATTGGTATCAGATTGTTATAATTATCTTAATGAGAGTAAATTGTTGATCGTAGTAATATAATTTAAATGAGTGTTTATGTTGAAATAAACTCTTAATTTGGTTAAGGGAAATTGAGGAAATGACAATTTACTAATTGTCGTACTTGTTGGTATCAAACAAAAATTGGAAATTGTATTTTATATGTACCATTAACCATAACTACAATTAATTAATTATCCATTTTCCCTTAATCATATGATCACTACCGTTGATAAATCATCTTAAAAGTTTTGTTATTCATTTGTTACCTTGATTGTTGTGTAATTAATTAGTTGACAATTTTTACATTCAAATCAATTGATTTGTTGTTAATCATTGAGATATAATAATTTAACTTAATCATGGTCACAGTGATACAACATAATGATTAACATTATTATTAATTTAATTTCATGATTGTCAAGTGTTAACGTAATCAGTTGATTGTTGATAATTAATTGTCCCTCTCGGTTGATTATTTTAGGCAAAGATGAAATCTAATTGTTAACAATTGTTATCAAGTCAATCTGAAAGATAATCAATTGATCATTAACAACAATTAATAAATTTTCTGACCATGAAATTTAAATTTCACGAAAAATTAATTAAACAAATTACAATGTTTATCTCTTAATTGTTGTGAAATTATTCAGAGATTATTTTACCTTTACAATTAAATAATATCTCCAATCAATGTCAGTGATTAACTAAATTATCATTATAATTGATTCATTAAAATAAGAATCAGTTCAATTGAGAAAGTAAATTAACAAATTGTTACAATTTGCCTAAAACTTTTTACCAACTAATTGACTTATAACAATTAAGAGCACACAATTGATTATGATTCCATGACAACAATTTAAATTGTGTATTCATTTTCACAATTAACTCACAATAATCAATGTTAATTGTAAACTTTAACACTGAAAAGTTTTCCCGTTTCATTATTAAATCAAGTTTTCATTGATTAGTAGCAGTTAACAATTGATTAATTATTGGACAAACTAATCATAAATGATTAACATAATTAACATAATAAAGAGACTTAATTGTAAATGAAATAGTTAATAAAAAAACAATACAGTTAATTGTGTGTCTTTTTTGTTCAAATTGAGATCCTTAATTGTTTACCAACATTCATCGTTGTTGATTATTGGTAACAAATCAACAATTTCAATACGAACCAACAAACTAAATTAATTGATTGTTAAATACATTGAGAAAAAAAACAACAAAGTAATCGTTATTAGTGGTAGTATATTTAATTGTTCAGGTAGACAGGTAAAAGTGTAACCAAATTAAGGGTAACCAATCAAATTAGACAAATTGGGAAGGTGACAATTTAATAATGTTTTGGTAAAATAAATATCAACAACAATTAGTAACAATTAAAATGGCAACAACAGCAATTATAAGACCAAGTAAAAAAAAATTAAAGGTACACAATCAATTTCAATTTGGTAATTTAAGTTTTTAACAATGAAAATTGTTGCTGATTGTGAAAAATTTGGGTAACAAATTGTTTATGATTAGTTAATCAAATTGAATAAATTGTCAATGTTTACCAATCAATTTGATAGGTCAGGGTCATTACGATGATTACTAATTCTCATCTTATTAACTGATTTGTTTTTCGTTGGAAAAAAAAATCAATTCAAACTGATTGTTAATTGTTTCAATCGATTGATGAATCAATTTTATTATTTAATATCTTCCATTGATTTATCTATGTGATAGATGAGAAATTTTAATGGTAAGGAGGAAGATATTGGAAGAGAAAACTTGAAAGGAAAGAAAAGTAAGAGAAGATAAAAAGGGGAGGAGCCAACAGGTAAAATTCTTATTTTCGTCAGAACTTTTATTTCTTCAGATTCGATAAAGAGAAAGAGAAAGAGAAAGAGAAAGAGAGAGAGAGAGAAAAGTGAAAGTTTCTTAATTTTTTGTTCTTCTCTTTTTCTCAGGTGGCGTACGAATCGTTTTCTCTCTCCCACTTTTGTCATCATGGAGATTTTTTTTCTCTCCATCATCAACTTTCTTATCATCGTCTATTCTGATTCTTGAATTGCTCAGGTGAGGCCAAATTACATCGTCGAAACGATCGGAAAGTATCAACAAGTTTTCAAAAGAGAAGAAAAAAATTTTCGTTCCTGTGAATTGGAAAGTAAATTATTTATTTTCTTTAATTTTATTCTCTCTCTTTGTGTCTCCCAATCATTAGAATTCATGTTAATTCAACAATTTTACTAATCAACAATTAACTAATCGACTATTTCAAATTCTGTGTGATTAACAATCAACCAACAAACTTTGATTTATCTCACGGATTATTAATCATAACAATCATGGTTAATCAAACTCAAATTGAGACAATTACAAGTATACCAGAGGTAGAGGTAAGTTAATTAATCTTTTAATTGTTAACCATTCCATTTCCATTGCTAATTATATTACCACAAATTAGTTTATTAAAAAATTGTTTCAAACTTTTCTAATTGTTACCCAATAGACAGTCAATGGTTTAATTGTTTACAATTAAGATCAGCTGATTGTTTCAATAATAATAATAATAATAATAATGATAATCATCAATATCAGAATCAGGGTCAGGTTCAAAAATTGATTATAATCAAAATATTGATTTGATTAGATAATAAAATGAGAGTGAAATTAAATTGATTGAAATTGTCTAATCACTAATGATAAAGTTTTCAATTGTCAACAATTAAGACAAGAATCAAGAAAAACCCGTTGTTTTAATCAATTGATTCGTGCTGATCAATCAACCATCCAGATCAATATTGTCCTTTAACAATAACAATTAAATCTTAATCATTAGTTAACAATATCCATAGTAAAGAGACAATTAAAAAAGTAAAAGGTAGACACAAGTTTAATTTTCATTATGATTAACTGAGTAATTGATTGAACAGTTTTAATTGGTACCATTGAAATAACCTAATTAAGTTAATCAACATTAAATACTAATCCATGATCATGATCTTGAATCAATATTAATTAATTACAATTACAATAGATTAACTTTCAAATGTTTCTAATCAAATGAATGATGAAACAATTAAAGATAATTAATATGATCAATATATGTGATTAATTTGAATTTTAAATTGTTACTTTTTTTTCATAATAATCAAATTGTTGCTGTTTCAAACTCTTATTACCAATCAAATAGATCAATTTCTGCTTAATTGTTGCAGAAATTGGTTAATTAATACAATAGTTACACTTTAACTACTCAATTAATCACACACTCAAACATTAATTTATTATTATCATTATCGTTATTATTGCACTTTTAATTTCAATTTAAATTACATACAAAATTTTCATTGTATTTGACCTTCTTTGTGACACAATCAAAATTAATTGTTACCTAATTGTTGAACAATCTATTTTTTTTTCTTGTTAAGTAGTTAATTTTTTTTCCCAATCAACGATAATCAAAGTTGCTACCTAATATTTTTTATCAATTGTTTCAACCACGCAATTTATAAATTCACCAAACAATCAAAGTGTAATCTGTTAATAGCCATTGAACGAGGCAATCAGTTGATTATCAACTTGATTACACTGGAATAAGGTATCATAATGATGACAACAATTAATAAATTGTCCAAATTTCAGGTTTTCGAAGTGCCAATGGTGGAATCAACATCCAGTGGGTCTCAACAAAGTCTTTCAAGTTCAACCAAATCCGATGTTAGTTTTTGTACAACAAATTCAGGGTAAGTGATTGATGGTAAAACTATCATTTAAATTGTAACAATTAACTTGATCCAGTTTGGTTAATATTTTGTATTTGTGTCCATCGATTCCTCTTTTTTTTGCTTGTCCAGTGATCTAAGTTTGGATGAGGCTCTTGAAGAAGGTCGTGAGTTGATGAAAATGTTTATCAACAATAAAATGGATGAAGTTTTACCGATCCTACAAGAGAAGGCCAATTCCTCAATGATCCATGCTCTTGGTGTGGCCGCTGTCCGTTTCTTTGAGGCGATTTTGACCCTCGATAAGAGTTACCTTCAACTGACCATTGAGGCTTTCAAGTATTCATCGGCTTTCGCTGATTCACTTCGGCGTAAATCTTATACATCTTTCCTCTTCTCGCCCAATTACAACGGCTACACGGATGAAGAGTGTCACGCTGAACTTTGTTATGCCAAATCGTATCTCCTTTGGGGTCTAGTCACCGTTCTTGAAGATCAATCGGTTTATGGTTTTATCAATGGTGCTCTTAAGATTCGTGCTTCTCATCAATCATACAAAGAGTGCTTGGCAATGTTAAAACATAGAACCACTTGGGATTCTGAGATTTCCCGAATGCACTTTGAAAGTGGTACCCGTTTGGGTATTGGTGCTTTTGATCTGGTCATCTCTTTCTTCCCAACCAAAATGGCCAAACTTCTTGAATTTGTTGGCTTCAATTCTGATCGTGATGTGGCCCTTGATGAGTTAAACATGTCCGTTAATCTTGTTGACGGGCTTCTCTATGATGTCACCTCAATATTGCTCTCAGGTTATTATGGTTTCCTTGAATACTTTTATGGTCTTGGTGAAGGTGATGTTGAATTTTTCAATCGATCATCAAAAATTTGGCTTGTCCGTACACCCGAATCGGCTATCGTTAAACTTGGACTTGGTGTTCGTGAAAAGATCATCGGTAATCCCGATAAGGCCATTGATTATTATGTCGAGTGTATCAAAGGTCAATCGTTTTGGCGGCAACTTAATTTCGCTTGCTACTGGGAAATCATTTGGTGCTATGCGTAAGTAATTAAATCCTTTTATTTGTAGTTAACTAATTGTTGTTGTTATTGTTTAACTTTTTCAATGCAAATTGATCATGATTTAAATCATGATTGAAGCAATTTAGTAATCATATTAGATATTGAAGGTTGTTACTGAGTTCTCTCTCTCTCTCAACATGAAACGCTAATTAAGATTCAAATCAAGACCTGAGTTCACTTGATTGTATTGTTTAGTTAATTAGAAAATCTAAAATCAGATTAACTTGTTGGTTAAATTGATTTTTCTTGATTGTTGGGAAGAAAAGTTTTCCCCAAATAATAATGATAATTATCAAATTTCCATGTGATTGTAATGTGACAATTTTGTTGTATGTCACAATTGATTAGCCGAGTGATTAATGATGATCATTATGATTAAGACGATAGCATGATTGTTACCGTTGATTAACAACTACCGTTTTTCTTAATCAACCTAAATTAATTCACGTTTACTGATGTGACAATCAATTGATTTCACTTTCAATTATACAAAACTTTCACTTCAAGAATAACAATCAAACAAAAAAGTTAAGGATAATAATTGTTTCCAAAAAGTTTGACGATACATTTAATTGCTTCTGGAAATTGTAGTGATAATATAATCAATTTAAACTTATACCACAATTAACTTTCACTTTTTTTAATAGTAATAGTTAACTGATCACTAAATTGTCACCATTATCCTATCACCAGATTATCATTATCATTATTATCCCATCTTCCTGATGATTAACCAAATATGAAACATTTTCCCGTTTCTAATTATAATCATTTCCTAATATTGACAATTAAGTTGATTAGTAATATTATTTTTAGTTATTAAATCGGTTCAATTTCTTGTCAACAATTACAATTCTTGGTCTTTGGGTTAATTGTTGGGTTAGTTGATTGCATGATTTAACAATTGTGAACATACTGAACACATTGATTTAATGGTTGACTTGATTGTTCAACTTAAATATATTGTGCTGTTATTAATTATCACTTACAATTAACTGCCTCAGGGGAAAATAATAATACAAGTCTCCAAGTTACAATTTAAATTGCAACTTGAATTAAATTGTAAACCTTTTTTTTCACCAACTTTAATTGTGTTTCTTGATTGTTGATAATGATGAGAATCTCATATTATATTGTAAATTATATTTACGTCAGTGTATTCATAATATACAATAATTTGTTGATAACAATTGAAGGTAAAAACACAAAATTAACTAATCATCAACAGGTAAATTAATTGTTGATTATAATTTTAAATTAGTTTTCTCATCCTTTTGCTTGATTACCTTGTAAATTGTTTACCTCTTGTTATTATCATTTTGTAATTTACTAATCATATTAATCAACTAATTTTGTAGTTACCAAACTTTGTATACATGATCAGGTAATCAAAGATATATAAGCTTTTAAATTGTTGTTGTATCAAGTCAAGGTTATTACACAATTTAAACATTGTTTTAATTATGATTGATTCTGATTTTCAGGTTCAACAATTAAGTTAATCATTTTGTTATTCATTTTTTTTTTGCTATCTTAATCACCATAATTCATGTGGTATTTATGTTTAATTTAATCGGAATAGAGAAGAATTGAAAAAAAAAATCGGTTTACCTTAATTGCTGGTAAATTGTATTGATCTGTTTTAATGACACACAATTAAGCTTACAATTTATTTATTGATTGTTGTGTAATTAAATTTGATCCATTTCAATGTTAACCTTGACCCAATCAAATTACCCAAACTGTTTAAATTAAACAGAAATCAGAAAAAAAGTTTAATCACTTTGATATTGATTAGCAAATATGAGACGATGAAAAAAACAAACTAACAATCAATGAATCTAATTGTCAAACACTAATTGCTAAGTGTACAAACTGATTAGATTCATTATTGAGATTTATGATTAGCTGATTGTTGCAATTGTAATCATTGAAATCGAAACGTAAATATATGATTAGATTGAATCATCTTCCTTAAGAAAAACCTTCTAATTAAAAGTGGAAACAGGAACCAAATTAATATTGTGGTCAAGTTCACTTGAGCATAATTAATACAATTAACTGATTATCTGAAAATAACCTTGATTAAAATCATGTTTCAACCAAATTATAACCAGTTAACTAATTGCAAGTGAAAGTGAGATGAAAACGAAAGTAAAAAACTTCCAAATAGCCTCAAGGGATAATCAGTTAACCTCTAAAATTTCAACTTCCTAGGTTAGTTTATCATGAATTTCTGGCTTCCTGAAAACTCAGGTAATCTTTTCATTACCTGTTGTTATTTAACATTATGTAAGATGATCAATAAGTTAATTGTTGGAACAACAGAGTCACCAAGGTTAATTGTTTAATCCCAAAAATCGGAATTAATTAATCTCCTTTTTTTTTCGGGAATCAGAATTCAAGTTCATTTTAATTTCAATTGAAATGTTACATGTAGTTCAATGTTTTTCATGTGAATGTTTCAGATGAATGAGATAATCTTGTGATGATTATATTTCATCGTGTTGATCATTAGCCAGTTAATCAGTTTGATTAATTTGGGGGAAAAGTTTTTTCCATAATCAAGTTGATTGAATGGTGAAAATTGTGAATTGTTACCTGAAAACCTTGAATCTGTTAATCATTACATGGGTAAGATGTTGATTGTTGTTGTTGATTAATTGTTGATATTTTACCAGAAAAAAAACAACAACAAGTTGAACGACCATGATTACCAAATGATAGCCACTGATTGTTTCATTTTCCCAGCTAAATCATCAATTCTGATCATCACGATTACAGGTATTTCCATGAACATCATCATTTCAATTTAGAAAATATCAAATGATCAATAATCTTTACAATCACTATTATAATAGAATCACAACTTTTTAATTACAAGTTCCAAGTTTAATTGTGACCTTGATTCTGATCTACTGACCTTGTTTTAATTTACAATTTTCGTCACTAATTCATACTAATCATATAACTGTATTTATCTATCACTTTAATTGTCATCGATTATCATTTTTAATATCATAACAATCAAGGGATTGGGTGTTTTTCAGATTAGCTACTGAATCTTAATAATCTGATAATCTGGGTCAATACCAAGTGATCAGTTGATGATCAACACTAATCATTGATTAACTTAAATAATCAACTTTCACTTTTTCAGTTGATTGTTTTTGATTTTGCTTTCTGGTGATGGAGGAAAACTCAACTTATATATTATAACTTTCATGATGATATCCAACAGTTTTCTGGTTGATCAATCATCAGATTGATTCACTCACCAGACTGATTGTTGTGATTATTATTATTATCTTGCTATTTGATTGGTTAAATTGTTACACCAAACAATTTACCAGAATCATGATGAATCATTTTCATGAATCTTTTCAATGTCAAATCAATCAGAACATTTTTTTTTCTTCATCATAATAACCAAAAAGAAGCGAGAAAAATATTGATTATGATTAACTAATTGTTACCAGTTTCTCTTGATTCTTCCTCCTTGTAATAACAATATTGATAATGATTTGTTATTATTGTTTATTATGAAAGTGAAAATTAACCAATAATTAACAAATTAAACAATCAAATTAAATTGTGTCCCATTTACATCATACGTTTCAATCAATTCTGATCCTTTTTTGATTGTTGATTTAGACTCTAAATGTGAAAAAAAAGGTCAAGTAATTAGTGATTAAATTAGGTGTCATTGTTTTAAATACTTACCTTTAAATTGTTGTTGTTGTTAATTAGATTCAAATCTGATTTAATTGATCTATTCACCTTTAAATCAATGTCACAATTAGATGATTACAATGTAATTACAATTTTCTGGGTAACAATAATCAATTAACCACAAAAACTGATTAACTTTGGTGAAGTGATTGTTAAGATTGTCGCAATTAGTATTGTAATACTTAATTAGTTGAATAAATAACCAAATCAATTGGTAAAAACAACAATCAACTTTAATTGTAATCAACTTACTGGGTGAATATGATTATGTATGAAAGTGTTAATCACTTTGTCAGATTAATTATCCAATTGATTGGTTGTTAATTCATTGTTTCACTTTAAAAATATTATGATTAACTTTTGATTTCCTTTGTTTCAAGTAATTAAGACAGGAACACACAATTAGCAATTGAGTTGTTAATTGTTTGCCAACTTGTTAGTTAATTGTCAAGATTTTTCTGTTAATCCATTATAATAATAATTTTATATTCTTAATTGTTACAATTAGAATTGATTGTGACCTAATTTTACACCTAAGGGATGTAATAGTTGATAATCAATATATAGCCGAAGGCTACTAATTATGATTAAGGATTATCTTTGACTATCTTAACAATTAAGCTAATTTCCCGTTTCCTTAGTTAGATTGACTTAAATTGTAAACACTAATTAGATTAATGTCATCATCATGCTCATATGAAAATCACTAACAAATTGTGAAATTACAGTTAACTAACTAACGTTTATTAGTTAATTAAGTTAATAGTGGAAAATTTAATTTCCCAAAAACAACAAGATAATAAGGAAGATTCAACTTGATAATCTAATAATTTGATTCATACAATTAATTAGATCGTTGATATTACCATGTAATAGATATATAAATACATCTACTTACCTTACAGGGTGAAAAGTGAGATAATTTAAAAGGTCAAGGTCAAAGAATTAAAATTAATTGTTAAAAACAAACAGTGATCGAAATGATCATCAAACTTTTCCTTGTAAAAGTTAATCCAATCGATCAGAGAATCACTGAAATTGAAATTGAACAATAAACGGATATTAATCCAAGTTAATCTATTTTGATGATTAGTAGAAACTGAGATGATTTAACTAACTAATAATTTTCTCTATTGATTATTGATTATTATTATTCAACAGAATGAAATGTGATTGGGAAAAGGCTGCTAATTATGCTCGATTATTGAAAGATGATTGTAAATGGTCTCCCGCCATGTTTACTTACCTGTACGCGGTGTTTACCTTCATGGTGATGGAGGAAAACGATCGACCTGATTTGGAACAAGACATTTCCAAAGCTTTCTTAAGAATACCTCAATTGAAAAGACGATTCGGTGGAAAACGAGCTTTCCATGAGAAGATCGTCATTGAAAGATCACGAAAATATCACGATAAAGTTAAACAAATGCTTTTACCTCCTTTCGTAAGTATTGAACGACCGAAAAAAAAAAATTCTCATTCACGAGTTAATCTAATCCAAATCTCATCTTAATCTTTATCCCAAAAATCACAACAACAACTCTAGGAATTATTATATATTTGGAATATATTTAACATGATGGCAAGTAATCACACTCTAATCCAAGTTTATTTAGATAAAATCGATGCCAAGTTAACTGTTCACAAAAAGGATAAAGGTAATCAAGATTAGGATTAACACTTTAATCCAGAAATAAAAAAAAACTTTTTCCTTCATCTACTAACCTTACAAATGTCCATTTACTATTAGATGACCATAATAGTTCACTTGATGCTTATTGTTACCTCAAGTTTATGAAAGGTGTTTGCTATCGGCACCTTAATCAGTTGGTTAAATCGATTGATTGTTTCACTGAAGTTCTTAATTGGTGAGTAATTGCCAAAGAGAAAACAATAATCTCAATGTTGGATTAATCATCTAATCTTTGTTGTTGTCTTGTTAATCTTTTCAGTAAGAAACGGATCGACGAGGAGACCCACCTATTACCTCAATGTGCATTCGAGCTTGGATTAATCCACCGATCAATGGGACAAAATGTTGAGGCCAAAAAGTGGCTCAAAAAATCACGGGATGATTACAGCGGCTATTTAACTGAGACTATGATCCATTATCGTGTACAATGTGCACTGTATCGTTAAAACAATGAAACAATTAACGAGTAATTAACAGCAGCAAAAGAAAGTCAATTCCAATTAATCACCGATTGATTTTTGTTTTCTGGTACAATTGTTTTCTAAAAAATTAGTTTAAAAAAAAAGATACAGTTAATTACTATTGATTGATTAGTATTTTCCTAATTGTAAACAATTGAAAATCTTACGTGTAATTATATAATTACTTAATTAACATTTTCTATTTAGTATCAATTTCGTATTATTTTAACAAAAAAAAATCTAATTCTTTTCTAATTAAAATCGTAATGATTAACCAAATTGTAATAAACAAAAAGTTGATGGTTCCAAATTACCATGAGATTAATTAATAAAAACAATTTTAATCTTCATTTGTTTACTCACTTGAAATGTTACTTTAATCCGGATAATCACATCATGGATTAATACAACCTATTGTTTGGTAATTGTTGATTGTTTGGGTTTTTTTTTCATTTGAGGATTCGAAACTTTTGTCAACTTAATTAGCAAAGATATCGATAGTTAATTTAACAATCAATTCGAGGGAGATTTTTTTTTGTTTACCTTCTCATTTGCTTGTAAATAATTAAATCTATTGATCATGTTTCGAGGTAAAAAAAGTCACCATCGAACCAACCGAACGATACCAATCAATTGGAGGAACGTTGTTTGCCATTCAGATCAAATTAGCGCCGGTGCCAATCATCGGAATAAAATATCCACTCGAAAATACACTTGGTTCAGTTTTATACCTCGAAATTTATTTGAACAGTTCCACCGATTGGCCAACTTTTATTTTCTCATATTATCAATTTTCCAAATAATATTTCGTGGTCCCTTTAATCCGATGACCTCCATCATCCCATTAATGATTGTTATCGGTACAACGGCGATAAAACAAGCCTATGAAGATTTACTTCGGCAAAAAAGTGACCTATTAATTAACCTGAAAAAGATTTCGGTCCTAGTGGGTCAACAATTTAAACGTATTCGATCTGAGAATATAATTACCGGTGATATTGTTAAATTAAAGTCTCACCATGAGATTCCCTGTGATTGTGTTTTCATCTCGTTCAATAATGAGGCCATTAAAGCGGGTATAATAACGGCAAATTTAGATGGTGAGACCAATGTTAAAATGAAAGATTCAATTGCTTTACCTGTTAAATTGCTCGGTGATAAAGATCCATTAAAAGAGACAACAATTGATTTTCCACCTGAAACAATTAAAGGTTCAATACAAGTTGAAGAGCCACATTCAGATTTATATGATTTTGTTGGTGTACTGACCATGGGTCAATTGTGTATCTCACTTGGTCCAAATAATTTACTTCTAAGAGGGTCACGTCTTGTTACACCTGATTACGTTTACGGTATAGCGGTTTACGTTGGTATCGAGACAAAAATGGCCTTAAACAGTAAAATTAAGGCCAATAAGTTTACCTCAGTTGAAAGGAAAGTTAATGTTTACCTGGTTGGCTATTTTATCGTACTCTTTGCATTGACCACTCTCTCGTATATATTATCAAAGTCTCACCGGTTCATCTTAAATTCACATGAAGATTATTGGTATTTAGGTGATTATCTGACCTCTGAAAATTTCACGATCTCCAAGGACGAGGTTGGTGAATATTTCTCCTTCTTTATCCTTTACTCGTTCCTTATTCCGATAAGTTTATATGTTTCACTTTCAATGGTTAAACTGATTGGAACCTATTCATTGATTCATGATCGTAATCTCATTAATCCGATAACCTTTGACCGTCCAATCATGAATACATCAGATTTAAATGAGGAACTTGGTCAGATTGAATATCTTTTCAGTGATAAAACGGGAACATTAACTCAGAATGTGATGAAATTTAGATGTGCCTCAATTGACGGGGAATTGTTTCAATTGGCATCGGAAGATTCAGATACATCGGTCAATTTACCTTTAACGTTAACTTCCGTTGTAAAGGAAAAGGTTAAAGACTTTTTCATCGCCCTGTGTATATGTAATTCAGTTAAAGTTAAACGACCTCAACAATTAACAAATCAAAGTAATAGGAATAAAGATAAATCATCATCAACAGGTAGACCAACGGGTAAACTGTCCAGTGAATCAATCTCAACGTTTTGTAATTCATCTTTATCATGGGAAGGTGATTCACCTGATGAAACGGCTTTGGTTGAGGCTGCATCACGATATGATGTAATTCTGGATAATTCTGATGAAAATTATTGCGATATTATTATTCACAATAAGAAGAAAAAATTTAAAAAATTAAATATTTTCCATTTTGATTCGGATCGAAAGCGAATGTCAGTCATGGTTAAATCGGCTGAAGGTTCGTTAACAAGTTTTACAATTAAAAGTCAAAGAAGACAATTAACTAAACTGTGATGGAAGAGTGAAAATCAATTAGCTAAAATAACAAGACGATAGTTAGTTGGTTGTATTGGTCAACTAATCGTTATTCAATCAGCTGAGACAATCGATTGTTACTCAATCTAATTAGTGTTTTCATCGATTTGTCAACAATCAATTTGATCACAACGTTTACATTTAGAATTGTTGTTAGCTTGTTTATCTCTTTTCTTTGGTTTTTTAATCCAGTTTTTTGGATTAAACGATTGATACTTTTCTTGGGATTAATGGAGAATTGGTTTTCTTTTGTGTTTTTCTTCAGGTAAAATCATTTGGATTTGCAAAGGAGCCGAAACGGTGATGAGGCCATTGACCACTAAAGGGAAAGTAACACTCACTTATCAACACATTGAACAATTTGCTAGAAAAGGTATGAGAACGTTAATTGTTGCTTGGAAATCTCTATCTGAAGAGGAGTACAAAAAGTTCAGTGACGAATTGCGATTGGCCTCATTAAGTTTAGTCCAACGGAAAGAAAAGGTAATCAAATTGATTAAGGGGTAGAAATCAACCATTGGAAGCATCTTAATTGTTACAATTAGTTTATCTTGATTTACAGATGGAAAATGTTATGAATAAACATGAGACTAATTTCAGTATACTTGGAGCTACCGGTGTTGAGGATAAGCTACAAGAAGGAGTTGAAGACACGATTTCGGCTTTAAGATTAGCTGGAATTAAGGTGAGATTATCTAATCATTTTCTGACTGTTTCTTTGGTTTTCTTATTTGATAACAATTAACTTTTACATTTGACGTTTCTTTTGTATCAGATTTGGATTCTAACGGGTGATAAAACAGAGACTGCTGTTGATGTTGCTAATTCAGTTTCACTTTTAGATTCATCTTTGATACGATTTAGTTTAACTGATCACGTTGAGGCGACTTCATGTTCAAAAGCAATTGATAATTATCTTAATCAAATTGAACAAATTACCAATGGTAAAGAGATTACCCCTGATTCCAAGCAATTTGCCGTTATCATCGATGGTAAAACCTTATTTATTGCGATGAAAAATCATAAATTACCGTTCCAATCTCTTTGTCTCAAATGTTCAGCCGTCATTTGTGCTCGAATGTCACCAATTCAAAAAGCTGAAGTAATTAACCAATCAACTATTTTAGAATTTAATTCTAATTCGATAAATGTTTTATTGATTAACAGGTTGTTCGAATGATCAAAAACAGTGATACCCGACCAGTGACCGCAGCAATTGGTGACGGAGCAAATGATGTCAGTATGATACAAGAAGCCGATATCGGCTTTGGACTGATCGGTAAAGAGGGTAGACAAGCGGCTAATAGTAGCGATTTAGCATTTGCACAATTTAGTTTTCTTAAAAGGATCATCTTAATCCATGGACATTATTACTACGTTCGCATTAGCAATTTAATCCAATACTTTTTCTACAAAGTAATTAACCTTTTCCAACAATTAAATCCAACACAATTAACGAATCGATGATCTTTTCATTGACAGAATTCAACCTTGGTGGCTCCATTATTTTTATACTCATTTGATTGTATCTATTCAGCTCAGGTTAGTTATCTTGAAAAATTTCAATTTTCTTCCCACAACAATTAACTAATTGTCATCATTTCATAGTCAATTTTTCACGGAGTTTTATTGATGTTTTATAATTTACTATTAACGGCATTCCCTGTGGCGATTTATGCTCTTTCCGAGAAAAATATTCCAGAATCCTTGTTGGAAAAAGAGCCTCGATTTTACTGGTAAGAAAATCAACTAATCAACTTGTTAATCTAATTCCAATTAACTCAAATTTACAATTAAATCCAAAGGGTTAATCATCTTAATTTCAACATGAACTTTAAACGATATTTAATTTGGTTCCTTTCTGGTATAATTAATGGATCAATATGTTTACTTTCATTCAAATATATTTACTTTCAAAATGAAGATGAAATCAATTCTCGGGTAAATTGTCACAATTAACAATCATTTTCTTAATAATCTTCTCAATGATCACTAATTAACCTTTTAATTAGACTGGTGGATTAATTTATTTCGGTAACATGGCTTCTATTACAATGGTTACCTTTGTAAACCTTAAGGTGAATTAAATTTAAACCGATTAACTTAATTGTTAACACCCAATGTTAACTACTAACCTTTAGCCTTTTAGTTAATCTTAATTATTATCTTAACAATTAAGTACAATTTAAATCAATGTGATGATGATGATGATTGCTAATTACGTCAATCATTTGATATTAATTTTCACTGTTCCATTAGTTTAATTTGCCAATTTATATTTATTGATAATCGATTTGACAATTTAAATTGATTGTTTTGTTTCAAATTACTTTTAACAAATCTAACCTTAATTCAATCATTAATCTAATTTGCTTCTTAAATAGTCAATCAATTAACTAATTGTAATAGAAAAACAAAATCTGAAAGACTTACAATCTTAATTTGCTCTTGACCTGATTTACTTAGTTTCTTAATTGTCACAATTTCATTTAATTTCATTTTTTGAGCTAAAATTAATTCAATGATTCAATTTATCCCCTTTCCCTTGATTAACAATTAACAAATAACCTTCACTTAATTAAGTAAACCATTAGGACTCTTTGTCAACTCAAAAAATTGTCAAAATCTATCATCTAATTGTTGTCCCAAACCAACAATTAGCGTCTCAATTGTTTCTTAATTGTGCCCATGCTTTTTTGTTTTTGATGAAAATATTTTCAAATGATTTATTAATTGTTAGTTAACTAATTTAATTCTCTAATAACAGTTACTATTAATGACTCGTAATTATGGATTAACTTTACCTCTTTCTGTGATATTATCTATTATTCTGGTTCATGGTTTTTATTACAGCACTTCATCATGGTAAGTTTTAATTGTTACTTAATCAATGTTACAATTAGAGATAATTAATATTCGTTTATCGGAAATTGATTAATAATCAATTTTGTTGAAAGAAAGTTTCTCACTAATCAATGTGATAATTAAGACGAAACTAAAAAGTTAATTTCAAGGTAACGGAACTGGAGATGGTTAAATTGTCTCAACTAATTATCGGTTTCATTTTCTATTTCGATTATTATTAAGTTAATTTGTCTTTTCTATTGTTAATTGTTTCCCATTTAGGTTTGCCATTCTTGACGATTTACTGTTCGGCTCTTATGTTCAAATGATCTTCGAGCCTTGTTTTTGGCTCATGTCGATACTCACATTGGCTGTTTGCTTAATTCTCGATATTTGTCATCGACTTTACGCCGATTCTAAATCATCTAGATATAAAAGTCTCTTAAAGGACAATCAACTTTACAATTAAAGGAAAATGAACTTGAACAAATTTTAATTCTCACTTTCTGTTGATTGTTAGATCCGTTCAATCATCGTTGTAACGATCAGTTAATTATAAGAAAATCTCATGAGAAATTAATGTCAAGGTTTAAATGGATTTGTTTTATTTTACTTTTTCCTTTATTGTGATTTAATAACAAGATAATCTTACAATTGTAATTAATTTTGATCAGATATTGAAACAAACAAAGGTTAACAACTCTTACAATATTGATTTGATTGTTTGGACGTTGATAGTTGGCTAATTGGATAATTAAAGGTTTAGAATTCAAGTTGATTTAATTTGAATCAGAATCTCAATTCTGTGTTATAAATTGTCTTATTCAATTTCACTTTGATCGCTGGGTGAAAGTTCATAATATAAGGACGATTTTTTATTCTCGACATGTGATTTATGACCTTTTTGATTGGGTCAAAAGTCTTGACCAATGGACAATTTTTTACAATCCAATTTTAATCTTAATCTAATCATCAGATTGTATATTGTTTAGGTTCATTATCAAGGTTGATTAACTGGTCAGTTTTACAAATACAATTTTTTGTACTTTACTTTGAAGTTAATTTACTTAATTGACTGAGGAAACAAACAATTAAGGGTCACTGAATTTAGTCAGGAAACAAAGGTGAAGAAACAGTAAATCACTAAGTACATGAGGATAATTAGAATCTCACCTGAGTAAATGGAATTGATTAAGACCAATAAACTTTTTCATTTCTCTTTAATAAAGATTATCTAAATTGCGGTAATCTAATTGTTCAGGTTGTTACACTTTCCATATCGTTCCAATTTCTCAAAGTTCAACATGAGAAAAGTCTAAATAATTTACTATCAATCAAAGAGAAGTACCAATTATTATTATTGTTATCATCCAAGAACAAAATTTAAGTTCATTGATCAGTTAATTGTAAATTTTCTAGAAATTAAAATCTTCCAAAAGTGTCTGATTATCAACTTCCAGCGGATCAATATGATTATTTATCATTTCCCTTGGAAAGTTAATCGCTTTAAACTCCATTAAATTATTGTCTCATTGTTACTCTTAAATGATTGATTGATCACTTTCAAAGGGATTCTACAAATAGATGATTAAACTTTTCGTAATTTAAATTGTGATCAAAGTTTGAACATCGACGAGAAGTGGATGACATCTAGTGGGCAAGAATTAAACTAGTTGGATTTTCAGTCGATTCGAGAACAAAAAACGCGCGTTTTTCAAATCCAAAAATCGAAATGAAGTAAAAAAAGACCAACGCTTATCATCAGCAGAATAATTAACAATCTTGTTGCCCAACAAAACGGGAAAGAAATTAAATTTCTGTTTCTCAAATAACTGATCATAATCGGGAAATTTAATACAAAATTAATAAGTAATTGAAACTAATCCAATAACCAATTAGATGCTCATTTAACCAGTCAGATTAAATTACAATCAGTTAAGTGAGACGAACGACAAAAACGACAATTAATTGATTATGATGGTTGAATTTAAATGAGTTGAAAAATTTTGTTACTTTCAAATTAAACGAAACGATTATCATGATTAACTATTGATTTTTGTTATTGACCAATTTAAAAAAAAAACTTTGCTAACAATTAAAAATAGTCAAACTGTAAACAAAATGACAATTAACTCAGTTGAACAATTAACTGAAATCTACTATTCTAATCAATTCAAACATTGAAATTAATAATAATCAAGATCAAACTGATTCTCAAGGATTTTTTCATCTCTCTCATTTGATTAACGATATAATTAAAAAAAAAGTTTTTCCAATTAAATTAAAATATCATTTTCTTTATTTACAATTAATGATAATAATCATCTACCTGCTCATTTATACTGATTATTTATTATTATTATTTAAATTGTTATTAATCATTGAAACTAATCTTTTGTTAATTGTTGACCTAATGAGAAACAAAAAGTTTAACTATTTACAAGAATTGACCTTCAATGGACTTGATCCCATTAATAAAAAATCGTTTACTATGAATACCTTTGCTTTGTTATCCAATATATGATCATTAATTTAGTCAATCAATAGTTAATTGCAACAATCAGCAAACAATATAATCAAAAATCAAATTGTTCATCATCAACATCATCCTTATCATGATTTCAATATAAGTTTTAATAACAAACTTCAATGAAACAAATTGAAAGGAAAAAAAAATTCAAATTTTTTCCATTCATTGGTAAATTGTGATAATCAATATGTTGATGATTGAACAATATCATTATTATTATTATATTGTTACCACTGATTATATAATTTTTCATGATCAATAATCTGATCATTTGGTCAAATGATTAATGTCTAATTTAAGGTCTAATAGTAACAATTAGGTCAATAACAATGATTATCAACTGTCAGCATTTGAATATTAGATTATGTTATTAAATATGAGATGGAAAAGTTTTTTTTTTCTTCTTCTCTTTCAAATGATTTAACAATTAATCATGATTTAGCTTTTTGTATGTGAGACAATTAAATAATTGATCAGATTGATTTAGATTGTCAAATGTTGTGTTCAATGATAATGGTAATAGATTGTTGTTGTTGTATACAATTAAATGGTAAGATAGTTAATTGTAATTATTGACAGGAAATTTTGACCAAATTTATTTCATTTTCTGTTTCAATGATTAACAACTTTCATTCTGATGATGATGATGATCAGTTAAATTGTCAACAATCAACAACAACAAGAAGAAAAAGTAAATTAATGACAATTTTTGAGTATATTTTAATTGTTATACTTCATTTGATTGATTGTCATTGGATGTTAATTGAGGTAAAATTAAATTGTTTTAAAAAGTTAAGCAACTAACGATAATTATCAACGAACAAACAAAAAAATTAATCACGAAAAGTGATTGATAACAATCAACGAGAAAATTAAAGCTAAAAGCTAAATCAACAAGCTAAATGTTTCTCTCTCTCTCTCTCGTGATTTAAATTGTTGCTATTTATTATCCGATAAAGTTAATTACCAATGTTACCCATGTTAATAAAACCCTTGATCAAGTATTCTGTAAAACAATCAACTAATTACAATTAAAAAAGTGCGTGTGAAGAAAACGTTGAATCAAATCAATGGCAAACAAAAAAAAATCACAACAAAAAGTTAAACTTGATTGTTAATCTTTGTAATCAATTGATTTTCATTGATCCGCAACTAAATTAAAGGGCTAAGGGCATAATAATTAACTAATTAACATTGAGCTAATAACAAATTAATCAGATTTAATTGGTTGATAACAATGTTAATATACAAACAATAAACTAAATTGTTGTTGGGAAAAACAAAACTAAATCAATAGTAACAATGAAAGTTGATTAAAGTTTTCCAGGACTGATTCTTGAAATAAACTAATCAAGATGATGATAATAATAATGATGATGATTTAAATGATGATAAAGTTAATCTGAATTACAATCAGAATTGTGAATCAACAGTATTATCATCTAATGATAATCTATTCAATAATCATAATAATTAACATTTAGGTAAGAAAAAAGTAATAAAATTTGATATTTTTTTTTCCTTAAACAGTTGATTGTTATGATTAGTATTAATTAGTAAAGTAAATGTTATAATTATGCAACAATTAACAATAATAGCTTACAATTGATGAGGTAGAAAATGATTTTCATCATTAATTGTTGACAATTATTAAAATGTTGATAGATATTTATTATCATATACAAACAATTGAGTTTTACAATAAAGTAAACAAAAAGTTTCATATAAACGAAAAAAGTTTTTTCTTATAAAAAAAAGTTTTCGAGAGAAAAATATTTATATGTAATAGTATTAATATTAATATATATTGATATCATTAGGATTTAATTGTGTTTATATTTGGAGAGTTTATATTATCATTATATAATAATTAGCATTCTTAATATTATCGTGATGATTAGATAACAATTGGTGTGATGATTAAATGTTAGTGTGTCGCTGCATGTGAAGGGATAAATGGTCTGAACGGGAAAATGCTCGTTCACAAAGTCGACATTGAAAAGGTTTGTCACCGGTGTGTTTACGAAAATGTCGGGTAAGCTCATCGGATCGGGCAAATTTCCACCCGCACCCTTTCCAGTTACAGTGATACGGTTTCTCACCGGTGTGGGTTCGAAGGTGAGCTTTTAAATGGGAAGATTTCGAGTAGCTTTTCTCACATCCATTGTAGGAACAATAGTGAACTTTAACCTTTTTATTACGATTTCCAGGTATCACATTTGAACGGTTCAAATTGCTCGTTGATTTGTTTACAATTAACTCTGTTGATTGGGCTGATTTTAATTTACTTCTATTATTGTTATTAGCTGTTGATGTTGTCATGTTACTATTGTTGATTATGGTGATTGGTGATGATCCTTTAATTGTTGATGGCAATTGACTGATTGTTGTTGTTGTTGTTGATGCTACTGAAGGTATCATTGTTGTGGTCACTTGTTTTCGGGTCAATGTTGAAGTTTGTTGTTCAATTTTTGCTGGTGGACTTGATTTAGTTAATATCGATACAATTAAAGGTGATGAATTAGATTGTTGTTGTTGTTGTCCATTGCTGGTTGGTGTTTGGTTAATTGTGATTGTTGATTCAAAGGAACTATTGTTTGATTGGCCAATGTGTTGATTTAGATTATGTAGATTATTATTAGATGAATGATCTTGTTGGTGATGTTGTTGTTGTTGTTGTTGATGATGATGATGTGGATGATGAGGATGAGGATGATGATGGGTTGAGCTCTGTTGCTGTTGTTGATTAAGATGACCTGAAGTTATCATTAACATTTCCTGATCATTAAATGATGGTGATGGAGGTTTAGTTAAACCAGATGAAACATAAACGGGAGTTGTTGGTATCGGTGTTAGATAAGTAAATTCAGTTGATGTGTAAGTGGCAGTGTTGGCATGATGTCCATGTTGTTGTTGGGATTGCTGAGTATCGGTGTTGCTTAAATAAACAACCGGATTAACGGAATAGTTTGAGTTATTAACGTTTACAGGTAATAATTGTAATCCATTTTGTGTCAACATTTGTTGCTGATGGTTAGATTGAAGTTGCGATGATGATGAGGTTAGTTGATGGTTAAATGAATTAAGATGATGATTAGTTGTTGGTTGATTAGTTGAATATTGATTATGATGATAGAGATTGAAAAAAGGTTTAGTTTCATTGGGAGGTGTGGATGGAGGTGACATTTGAGATCCAATTGAAGGAAATATTAACGAAGAAATTAAATTTCCATTGGTATTATTACTTTGATTGTTGTTGTTGTTGTTACAATCAAAAGGAGATGATGGTGATGAGGAGGAAGAAGATGATGACGAGGAAGATGAGGAAGAAGATGAATATCCATTGATTGAAGGTAATTCATGAGGTGGTGATGAAGATGAAGATGAGGATGATATTGATGAAGGTGATGGAGTTATCAATGATAAACTTGCTCTCATTGTTAAGGATGCTGATGTTGAAGACGAGGGTGAAGATGATGATGATTCAACATTGATTGATCCTAAAGCATTGACCAAGGGGGAAGTAAAATCATCATATTGATGATGATGATGATGATGATGATTGGTTGACTGTTGTTGTTGATGATGATGATCACTCAATGATGAATCACAGAAAAAGCTTAAAGTTTCATCAGGTGATGATAATGATAAAGTATTACTATTGGTCATCGTGTTTGTTGTAACTGTTGATTGATTGACCTTTGATGATAGTGAACGTGAATTATTATCAATATTATCTGACCAGATAATATTATTATCATGGTGATGGTGTTGATGATGATTTAGATGATGATTAGTTGACTGTTGATTGGCACTTGATACAATATGTTGATTCCATGTTGATATTGTTATATCCAGTGAATTATTATTATCACAATTAGTTAAATCGTCATTGTTATTATGCAGATTATCATCATTATTGTTTTTAATTGTTTCATTTATATTCTTATGATTATTGACCTCATTTTCTTGTTGTTGACCATCACAGTTAATTGTTAACACTGATTGAACATTTTCAATCTTTATATTTGATTTATCGTCAAATAGTAAATTGTTACTAATTGTTGTTATCCCATTAATTTGATCACCTTTCATTGATTCACTATTACAGTTAATTGTTGTTGCTGTTGTTGTTGATTGTCGTTGTAATAATCTTGATAATGTTGACAAATTAGGTGCCGGTGAATTGTGTCCATCATTTAACATTAAATCATTATTACAATTAAAGAAATCAATTTCAGACCAAATCTGTTAATGATAAATAATTCAATTAGTTTTGCTTTTAAATGTATTGTAACAAATTTAAATTAGATCAACTTTTAAATTACCAAAACTGGATCAAAATCATTTTGAAAATTAAACTTTGTTTCAACTTTTCTTAATGTCTAATGTAATCATATCTAATTATTGATCATCCTGACAATTAATATATCAACAATTTATGTCAATTTATTAATAAGCAATTTAAATCTAAGTATATGCTGTATAAATTTGGTGAAATTAAATTTGATTCTTGAGGCCTAATAATTGATATTGAACTAAATCATGTTGTTAAATTGATATTTTGATCAGAAACTTGTTATTAAACTACTACAACAAGTGATTAAATAGTAATTGCAATCAGTAAATTAACAATTAGTTGGATAAATCAGTTGATCAAGGATTTTTTTTTCTAAAAAAAAGTTATCCTTGATAGATGATAATAAGATTAACATTTTGATTGAATTTCAATCAATCTGAAAAATAATCCAACTCATTGGTAAGATTAGACTATTCAATGTTCAACAATTAAAAAAATTACATCGAGTTAAATTGTTACAATCGGATTAACTTTTCAATTTTAAATTGATTATCATTAAATAACCAATTGATTGAATCAAAAGTTATTACAAATCAATTGACCATTAAAACAACGAGTTTTTTTGCTATTCTCATTCAGTGTCTTCTAATTGTAGACAATTAACTAACTATTGATGGTTAACAATTAAAAGTTTTATCAACTCACCTCGTCGTCTTGTATACTTGTAATTGTCTCGATTTGAGTTTGATTAACCATGATTAAGAATGATAATAATCCTTGAGATTGATCAAAACTTGGACAGTTTTATTCACACAGAATTTGAGATGATTGTTATTAGTTAATTGTTGTTAATCAGTGAAAGAAAAAGGTTTAATTAACTTGAAAGTTGAACGAAAATAAAAAATAAATAATTTGGTTCAATTGGAAGAACGAAAATTTTTTTTTTTCGTTAACTTAAATTTCGTTGTGTTGATATTTGAACGTTTCGTTGTTGTTTAAGGCCAAACCTGAACAGTTTAAAATTCAATATAGATTATGATAATAATGATGATGATGATTAAGACGATGAGAAGGATGATAGAAAGAGAGAGAAAACGATTTGTACGCCATCTTATGGGTGAGTCTTTCTTTCTCTCGAATTTGAAGAAAAAAAGTTCTAATGAAAAAGAAGATAAAAAAAAGTTTACCTGTTCTCTCCTCCTCTTTTATCTTCTCTTACTTTTTTCTCACTTTTCAAGTTTTACTACAAAAGTATTTCATCATCCTCATCATCCTCATCATCCTCATCATCCTCATCATATTCACCATTAACATAATCAATTGATAGTTAAGCTAATCAAGAACTTGAATATCACAGAAAATTTTACTCTAATTATTGGCAAATTCATAGATACAAAGAGTTTATCAATTAATTTACTAATTAGTGGATCGAAATTATCTTAATTATAAGTAATAATATCCATATATAAGCTTTAAATTGTTAGAGAAATTAAGGATTATACTAATCTCCGGAAATGGATTTGATTAAATTTCAAAGATTTAAACAATTCCAAATCATATCCACACCTCATCATCTTTAAATATCAGTTGTCATCATAATCCAAGGTGTGGTCCATTGTAATGTCTATATAATGCTTGACCATCAGGTTTATAAGGTGCTAATATTGATAAGCGTGAACTCAAATAGACGAAACTTGATTTGCAACAATTTAAATTGATTTGATTGTTATTTGATTTGCATAATATTGGTAACATTATTAATCTAAATTTTAGAGAAAAAAAAGTTTCATTCATTGGATTAGAATTGATTATAATCATGGATTAAGCTTCTTGATAATATCAAATGAATTCCATTAATTGTAAACCATTGATTTAAAAATTGTTCAAATCCAATGAATGAACAATGAACAATCATTATCCATAGACAATTAGCTTGATTGTTCATTCAAGTTAATTAGTCAACATTTAAATCTCTTGATTTCAATCATGAAAACAACAAGAATTAACTTCAAACTTTGTAACTTTCACCTTCTCTCTCTCTCTCTCTTAATTTGATTTAATTGTGAACTAAATCATAAGATAATAATTAAAATGATACCGATAATGATTACGAATGATAATTGTTAAGGATTATCAATCAATTGAAACAATTAATTAATCATATTAAATGAAAGCTTATCAATCACATTTCTTAATCATAATTATGACATTTGAACAACAAGAAAATATCTTAAATTATCAGTTAGTAATTAGTTAATCAATTTCAATAGTTCTGTTAACAGTAAACGATTAAAATCAATTGTAACTATTATCTCAATCATCATCATCATGAACCCGTTAATTGAATTGCTGAAAATTGATTGTTAATGCAAATCAATTGATTGATTGTTATTGATTGTAATATGTGTATATGTTTAGATATCAAAGTTAAATCACATTTAATGATCAGATTAAAGTTAATTGTTGAAATGTTGGTGAAACCAGCATCAAGTATCAATGCTAAATTGTTATCATCGTTATCAAATTAATCAGTTAATATACAATATAATCAAGAGAAATGAAATAATTTCATTTCTGGTTTCAATTGATACTCAAATGAATAATATTAATAATATAATAGTAATTAATCAGTCAATTGTAAACTGTAGCAATTGAATATTATCAACAATAACAGGGCGAGGATTAGATATCATAATTAAGATTGGAAAAATCTAATTGATTATTAATCGGATGATGATGATAGGTTTTAAATCACAAATCTTTTTCAAAATTGATGGCGAAAAGTAATAAAAAAAAACAATTTACTGATTGTGATTCCAATTCTTGTAATCTATTGATTATCAATATCATGGTTTTCATCATTTAACAAAAGTTAAACATTTGATTGATAACCCAAATTTTCAACAATTTACCTTAACATTAATTGTCTTACAAGATTTATAATAATAATAATATCAGTTAATAGTTAATAAAATTGATTTTCATCGGTTGTTTCAGAAAATGTTTATCATGAAATTTGAAATCACCAAGAAAAGTTATCATGTTTTCAGCTTCTGATGAAAAATATGAGCATCAAATACTGATGATGATGATGATGATGATGATAAGTGATGAAGAGAAGCTTAAATAATCATAATCATCATGTTATCTTAATTCAGATTCTGATTCCTTTGAGCATTCATCGGGAAAAAGGGAAAACTTTTGATAGGAATTTCGTTCCATCAATTTTTTTTTCTCTCGATTTCAATCTCAACAATAACTCGACTACTTGTTGTTTGTGTGTAACAATTAATTAATCATCGATTTCTGCTGATTTTTATTAACGCTCATTATTTAGACTTTTCAATCTTAACCTAAAATTTGAACTTCCAAAGCGCCAGAATTAATGATCAATAAGATGAGAGCAGTAAACTTGATTTAGAAAACCGCAAAGTTTAATCTTAATTATGATTAACAATTAACTCAACTACCTACTGATTAGTAGTAGTAGTGGTAAACTTGATTGTGATTTGATTTATTGACTTAGAAACAAGATTAAACCCTAAAGGTAATTAACAATTTAATTTATTAAAAATAAATGAAACATTTTCATATAAATTATATTATTAATACAAACAAAATCTCAACGATTCAAGTCAATTGATTTTCATTGATAACTGATCAACTTTACAAACAGCAACAATTAACTAATCATTTTACCCTGGACAAAGAATCAAAATTGTCGTTGATTGTATCTTGAAATATGAATAACTAGTAAACAATTAACCTTGTCTCCGTTGATTTTAATTGTTTACACTAATCATCCAATGGTAATAATTTCATCGTTACTAATAATCATCGTTCTGATAACGTTTAATTACCCGATTCTGTGAGTGTGTGTGTGTGTGTCTTGATTAATTTAATTCTTAGTTAATTGTAATTAACGTCCTTGTTACAAAATTTATGATTCCAACCTTGATTGATAAAATAATTTAGGATCATATTTAAATTACTATTAATAAATGATTAATCATTTCAATATTTAAAAATCCATTAATGGTAATCTCGTCTCTCTCTCTGCAATTAAAACTCACACAATTTAATCATTATTATTGCTACAATTTGATCATTGATTATTGATAATCAACAACAACAATCAAAGTGATAAAATTTGATTATCGGCAGTTTGATGAAAAACTTTTGAAAACTTTTTTTTTACATTTTGATTTTGATGGATTTGATTCAATTGATTAACACTAATCATAAGTGTGTTATGATCAATGATCAACAATTATCAATGAAAATTAAAGTTTCAGTTAAAAAGGAAAATTAAATCAATCAATTTCAAATTGAATTGTATCCTCTCATTATTATTAATCAGTTGATCAATTGATTAACACCTTTGAACATTTAACATAAATACAAATTCATTCATTGAATTAATGTTGAACAATCAATAGAAATCAATTTCCTATCAAAACTTTGATGAAAAGTCCGTTAATGATTTTTTCGTTATATATATAAATTACTACAACAATCAGTAAAACCTTATTTAGTTATGAATATAAATTCAAACAATCAACATAATTAATATATTAAAATCACAATCCATTAGTTGATAATGTAATATATTAGTTATCATGTAATAACTGGATTAACGGTAAAGGACAGAAACACAAATGATGATGATGATTAAATTGTTGAAATGTCAGGATTGAGTGTTAATAAGATGGATTGATTAAAATTAAATGTTAATCACACCATAAGTCATTGCAACGTTATTTATAATCATTTTTATCCTTAATCATCATCAGTTTCATCACCCTGATTACATCAAATGATAACAATTAACAAACTTTTTTTTTCTGTACAAATATCATATCCAATTTCAATGGGATTACAATTTAAAATTGTTCATCGTGATTAGCAAATCAATCATCGTTTTTGCTAATTTCTGTTATTACTTGTATATAGATTATTAATACAATTATACATTTAGATAATAATAATACAACAATTAACATGATATTGTTTCAACAATCAAGCAAAATGCTGATTAAAAGGAAAGTGAATTATTTAAATTGGTTAATCGGTTTTCTTTTTATGAATTCGAAATACAAAAACAACAACAACAATTAGAAATCAATACGAATTTTAATCAATGTAAAGATGAAGAAAAGTTGTAAACATTTTCTTACCTTCAGCTTTTTCCGTTATATCTTCTTACCTGTAAGTAGCCTACAAGCCACAAGGTTTTAAGGCTCACGTTGTAACGATACTGGTAACGATTTACAAGATTAACGATTTTTAAAAGGTAAATGATTGACTGATTAACGCCGATGATGGATCATGTTAATAATTGTTAGTTAACAATTGGCTAACAATTAGGTTGAATAATTTAAGTTTTCTTTTTCTTTCTGCAATACATCAATCCGATTCGCAATTGTAAATTTGATCAATTAACCAAATTTTTACTTTAACTAATATTCTAAAAGTAATAATTATCTCAATAATTAGTACAACTAATCTGCATGAGATTAGATATTTATACCAAAGTAGCGATTATTTCAAAAGTTATTCAGAACTTGTCAGAACTTTTCTCTCTCTCTCTCATCGTGATAATTAATCTTAATTTACAGATAAAACTTTTCCATTGGAACTGGAAAGTTTTGTTTGGAAACTTTTATCTTGGTATATTAATTATCGGGTTCCAAGAGTTCATAGCTTTAACCTAAAGAACCTTAGCTTATCCTAGTTGATTGAGTTCGTTACGACGAAATCGATGGTTAGAATAACAATTCGTTACGATTGGTTACAAATTAAAAATCCAAACGGAAAACCAGTTTTTTCTTATTCTCGATCATCATCATAATTATCATCTTCATCTTCATCTTCATCTTCATCCTCATCATTTTCATCTTAATCATCTTGATATTTGATTAACTTTGATTACAATTTAACCTTGATCTTTTTTCCCCAATGAGATTTTCATTGATAAACTTTTCTTAATTTCGTTCAAATTCAATATCAATCTAAAACTTTTGATTAGTTTTTATTTATTCAAACAATTATTGAGGTCAAACAATATAACATTTAAATAATAGATTAAAATAAAAATCC